CAAAATGGCCCCCTGGTGAGTAAACCGCCTGCTCTATCTTCTACGCACGGGAGATACAAAACTGCGCACGATGTCTCTTTCTGGATGATTCGGATTCTCTTTGAGTTTCGATCTATCCCACCGGATGAGCTATGCCTTTGAGATCTTCAACGCTGAAGCTAACCTAATGTGAACAGCACCTGCTCCTCCTGCGGCTCCAGCTGCGCTGGCTCCTGCACTGCCTGCTCTTGCGGCTCTTGCTCCGTAAGTCACACCTCTATGACAGCAAATCTCGAGATGTTCAGACACTGACTTTTGATATTTGCAGCACTAAATTCAGCATGACTTTTCTGCTCCCATCAAATTTGACAACCCGGAAGTGGCTCGCTCGCTAATAGCCAATATCCAACCCGAGCTGTGTGCCCTCCATTCGACAACGCGGGTGGAAGGATTGTAAGATGTTGATTTAGGGGTGGATCTTTGACTGCTGGAACTCAGTTCCATTTGCCAACAATGGTTGCCGAAACGGGGAACCTTCTAGTCTGTGGAGAACGACGGGTTTCCATGTTTACGCTTGACAATTCCGGCAGTTCTTGTTGGTGGTTGGGACTGGGACTCGAGATGGAGAATTCTTCTTTTATTCTTATTTCTCTCTCGTCTCGTGGTATGATAGTTTTGTTTTGAGATGGCAATACGAACTACGAGTGTTTTGATTCCCGGGAAAACTTTTACCTCTTTTGCTGGTGATCTAATCATGCGGCCTATTGTTGTTTGGGTAAAATGCCTATTCTGCGAATAATGAATAGCCTTGTATCCTTTTGAGTGATTTAAATGGCATCTGATTGTCCAGGTGGGGATCTTGCTTCCCTTGGAGAGGTTGCGGGCGGCCCGCCGAATGCCTACCTAAAGCGGGACATGCATGCATGGCTTCGAGCTGGTTGACGCTATTTGCGGAGACTGGGAGCTTTTCGGGTCTCCAAACTTGCCAAATCAGTGAGGGGAAGAAAGGTTAGGCTTTCTCCAAAGGGGGCCAGCTCCAATGAAGATGGGAGTAAAGGTCGGGATGATAGCAAGCTTCGTTCGGGAGAGCTGGAGAATGTCCTTCCACTTCGCTGGCACGTCTGATTCCGAGCGGGGAGACCCCCACCACTCTAGTCGGCGACGGGATCGGGGTTCATGCGGGCATGTGTTGGGCGGCTGTGGTCGGGTTGGTTGGTAACGAGAAAGGAGGTGCGGGGGACGAGGCGTTTGGTCTACTTACCTATGTCGGGTTTGCTGGTGGGTGGCAGTTGTACCTATGAATGTAGTAAACTGGAGGGTGTTTCGACTGTCAGCTGACTGATTTAATTGATTGCAACTGATCGTTGCGTTGGAGGGATGTGGCTTGGCACATGGAAAGATGTAGTTGCGATAGGAAGGATAAGATACGAAGCATGTGGCAGGAAACGGGTGGTCGAGTTGCGGCTTGTGATTGGGGATGTCGGAGGAAGCTGGCACACCCGTGAGCTCTGCGTGCTTGACTGATTGTGGTTTGGCGGCGATTTGGGGGCGATTCGTTGGGGGAGCTATCTGACGGCCGGCGCGGCGCGTGGTTATCTAAGGTTGTTCTTGGGGCCATGATCTGCTGGCAACGGGGTTTCGGGGTTTATTTGCGTTGGCGTTGGAACTACGAGTGGGCTTACAGATGAGGTCTATGGGTTTGTGGGTTGTGGGAGATTGTCATCTTGTTCTTGGGTGCACGTTGGCATTTGTTCATGGATTCATTTTTGAGCATTTGACCCTCTGAGGGGGTTAAAGTTGCAGTGAATACTCCGTAATTGTTGTCTCAAAAAGCAACAATGAAAAGAGACAAGAACGTGCATGCAGATCCAGTCCTATTGGATTTTCCATGACTGACTTTGACGATGAGAGAAAATAGAAAAGAGGAATTCGAGATTGGATACGTAGTCTGATGAAGTGGTATGTGGCCAATATATTTACCATAAATACGGATTTAATCGTTCGCAATAGTAGGATGGATTGAAAATGTGGCGGTGGAAGCGAACCTTGATGGGTCGGTTGTGAGGTTTCGACTCGCCCTTGATCGCTAAGGCCATCTCGTGCTTCTTCATTCTCTGCCTGACTACCACGAATGACTCCAGCCAGAAGGCCCCCTCGCGCCCTATACAAACAATGAAGTAGGTATAGCCGATGTTCCTGTACGTTCTTGTTGGCCTAAGGGCTGTAAGAATACTGATGATGTTGGACTAACGATGTGGTCCACCCTGACGCCGACGACCCCTATTATCCTCAAGGCCGCATCTCTCAAGCAGCAATACCAGCTAGAGCCACGAAACTCGACCCAAACATCGTCCGGAAGAGTAAGGAAAAGAACCGCGAGCCTTCAACGAGTCTTAACGGATCGATTCCCCGAAAAGACAATCTACGACTACGCCCCGAGCGCGTCATCCTCGACGAAAAACCTACAAAACCCACCCGACATAGCACCAGCCAGCGAAGCCAAAGGTCCAAATCAACAAGACAAGATCACGAATCCGAACAAGAACTCTACATGAATTAAGCTTCAGCTCTCACCGGAGAACTTCCCGCCTTCGAGCGGGGGTCTCGGCGAGTTGTCAAATCTCCAGCGATCCGCCCCGCTTAGAAAGCCCGCGACAAGGAATATGCCCGGATGCGGTCGGCCAGCTGCACTGGGCAGACGGGGCAGCAAAAGATCCCGGTGCGATGCGAGTGAAGTGCCGATAGGGCTAGGATGGGGTACGACGCGGATATGAGAATCGCATGTTCATCTCATCCGAGATCGCAAGTACCAGCATGAGTTGGCGTTGATACAGATGCTTGCGACATCGCAATCCCGGGTAGAATCGGTACAGCCCACTACAGGGCTCGACGCGAAGGCGAATCACGACCATATCCAAGAGCTCAAGAGAAGGCGGCAGCTGTTCTAAGGATTCTAATAAGCCAAGCTCAGACTCGACAAGTCTCTATTCTCCACGTACCAGATCACCGCCTCGAGGCAAGGCTGATTGGCGGACAGGATATGCATCTCTAACCAAATCCGTCGGAACCTGCAGCGCACACGGCAGAACGGAGGAGACACAGATGGCGACGTTCAATAAGAAGCGCCAAACGGATCAGCCAGCCCGGCGGCACGGCACGGCACGGCTCATGAGGTTGGAGGTTGCCTTGTCTCTTTCCGCTGTGGTCACATGGACTTGACGCCCTCGTTGTGTCAGTGGTGCTACGGTGGACAACGCATGAGCGCTTGGTGGGATGCCTCGCCGCAGATACTTGAAGCATGTCAGACGGTGGGCGTCACACGGCGTCGTCCGTTGTCGCCATGTAAATTGCCTTGGAGGCGTCGTGGCGACATTAGGCTCCAAGAGTCCTTGGCAATTCGGTGGCAAATGATTGTCTAATTGCTGGTCATGTCTGGCGGAGATGCGGTTCGCGGACTGGCGGTACTTTGAATTGCGTGTTTTCGTGCGCTGTCCCGCGTTGAGTATTTGCACCATCACTTTTTGCCATGGTTCTCTGAGCAAGTCACGAACTTCTTGTAGCTTGTGCAACAACTTATGAAGACAACACTAGTCTTGATCTTGTCTAAGTCCCACGTAGACATTTTCCCAAAATTGTCAGGCTCATCATCGTCGGGAGAGTGCTTGGGGTTCCATATCGAAGTATCGAGTAGCGAATGATCCGATTGGAAGATGGAATGCACGAGAACCCAAGTTGATACCGCCATATTGAGTATAGCAAACTCTTTCTCGACCACGATAACCATACTCGCTCGTTGGTGAAGGGTGTTCAAGGAGTTGAAGGTTGTGTACAAAGTCAAGCCACCAATATATACGTACCCCCCTCTCATACACGGGTGTGAGGAAGACATGAGAAATGCTTTTCGGATTTCAGAGAGACTCTTGATGATCACGACAGACATTGTGTTTTCAGCCGAGGCAGTGCAGTCAAAGCTCGCGACTTTTGTCATCGATAAGCAACAAGTCCTCCCAATGGCCGAGTCCACCACTGATGTTTAAGCTGTATCCTAGCTCTTTTGAATGCTGGATCTTGCTAGAGAGTAAGACTTTCTCACTTGCGTGTCTCACAAGCCCTCGTTTCTGCTGCAAGAGACATGAAGACTATGCAGGTTATGCCAGACATTAGACTTAACTCACCACGCATTTTTGATGGACAAAGCTGCCAAAGGTTTCAGTCGTCATCTGCGATCACTGCGGAAGCGTCGTGCAGCTCGAGTTTCTATTGAGCAGCAGGAGGGGTGGCGTGGGCAATTGACGGTCGGGGAAGAAGTTGCAACTTGACACCTTGCTCCTCACAAGTGCATGTACACGTAGACTGCCACGGATGCCTTCAACCAAGCATAGAAATAGATCATCCTTATGGCTTTACGCGGAATTATCGGGAGTTGTTCCCAGCGAGGAAGGCTCCGCATCAATAATCAAGAGCCTTGAAAGCCCCCTTGACAGCTCGAGTCATTCCCGGTGGCTGCAACGGCGTCGCCGAGATCACGGAGGTTCCAGCGGGGCTCTTTCGGCCGCAATCCGGCTTATCGCCGAAGAAGACCAATGCGGTTACGTTCACCGTGGATTTGCTCAGTGGAGCAAGGCGAAGACAATGAACATGTTCGTCCGATCGAATTTCTGGGGTAGAATGGTAATGCCAACGGAAGAAGTTGTGTTAAACAATGCATTGACCACCATCTCCCTTGTTTCTAAGAGCATTTAAGCCTTCTTCGCCGTAACGATTGCCTAAATAGGCAAGCAGACTTGATCGCTGTTAGGGCAACCGTGTTTGAAGTCCAAGTACAATCATTTGTGGCCGAACCAAGGCCGGATGAGTGAGAAATCAGATCCGCTAAAGCAGTATCACGGTGGCAACTGCTCCATGGCAAAATTGTACCAGAGCCACAATTGACTTGATGACATTGTAGAGACGATGCCATTATTTAGAGTAGGCCGGTCCCTAGTGACCGATTGATGCTTGTTTCCACAATCATCGGCTCTCTTACACGAACAAAGTCCATCGTACCAAAACCAGACACAAGATATGATGCCACGAAATTTAGCTTACGCCGGTCTCCTCTCCGCCTTTCTACAGATATGCCTTGCGCAGAACAACAGCATTGTCTCCATTCCTTATGAGTTGACATACCTTCTTTCTCCACCGTTTCACGGCAACTTGTTTCACAGCTTTGTCAATGGCACCAATACGTCAGATGCGTCAACCAACGAGCTTCTTCAATTTGCCGCCAAAGCACCTTTCATCTCATATGATGACGAATTCCTGGCGATTCTCGGCCAGAATCCAGCCATTGAGTTAATCGAGGAACGCTCAGGCAACTTTGCGGGAGAAGCTGGCGTGTGGATCAGCGATCGTAATGAAGTCTGGTACACAACTTGGATCAATGATGGGCCTACCCACGTGGAAATATTGGATTTGAACAATAACAGCATCAGAAACCTGACCTCTTCAAAGCCGTTGGACAATCCAAACGGAGGATTCTACCACCAAGGTCTCTTGTATTTCACTTGCTTGCGAGACGACTCTCGAGACTGGTCTGGTGGGGTCGTGTCTGTTGACCCAGAGACAGGTCATGTCGAAACTGTCCTCAACTCTTACTTTGGTCTCAAGTTTGACAACATTGACGATGTCGCTTGGGTCACGCAACCGGGAACAAACGACTCGTACATGTTCATCACTGTCCTGCCCTTCGCCGAGGGCTCAACCACGACAGATCGCCTGCCTCAAAGTCTGTGGCGCTGGGATCCCCAGAACAAAATCTTGTTACCTGCCATTAGCAGGACTGAGTTCCCCGTCGCTAACGGCGTCCGACCATCGAGAGACCGAAAGACTCTTTGGGTGACCGACTTTGGCGGCGAAGAGCGAAGCAGGATTTGGGGCCTACCGGCTCAAGTAGGAGCACCGGCGATCTACAAATACGATCTCAATGAAGACATGTGGCCTGTCAACAAGCGAATTTTTGGTGTCTCGAGAATGCAGGCTCCGGATGGCATCCGCATCGATGATAAGGGTAGGGTTTGGACGGGTGAAGGTGAAGGTGTTGTAGTTCGAAGTTCCCAAGGGAAGATCATTGGTGTCATCAATGGACAGTATTTCACGAGAGATCCTGTCAATACGGCGATTGTACAGTTCGAGCTCGCTGGGGATGTTCTGGTAGTGTTGGGCCAGAATAAGTTATGGACAGTGAAGTTAGCTGATACGGTCTATAGCGCCTAGCAACCTGCATCAACTTGTACTTTAGAACAGATTACGAACTGCGAGGATTACTTAACGGTAAATCAATAAGACCTCAATTACATGGGTTGCTGACTTTGATATCTTTTTCTCAAGCTCTAAAACATCACTGTTGGTAATTCACATTACGAGCTTACCAAGATGAAACACCCCGACATGCAAGAGTTCTAGACGTATGTTGATGGTAACAATGATTGAAGAAGACAAAAACTGTGTTAATGGGCTGCTTGCGCTCCTCAAGGTTTATCGCCTGGGTGATGTATCGTGGTATTCTGGGCATTTGAATTACCATTACCCTGACCTGGCACGCACCATACCTTGGCATACTCGGACCTCAAGGAAGAGACTCTTCATCTATTTTGACTTTCCCTAGTCCATGAGTCTAAAGTTCTCCCAAGATTTCTTCAAATAACCTTACATTTAACCTTGTATTCTATCAAGCAGAAAATCCAACGTTTTTGGCTCAATTGCCTCAAGTGCGCCATTCCATTGCCCACAAACCTTTGATCCGAATGTAGCCATCCCATAGCACTTCAAACTTGGATTTAAGACAATAACTGCAGAGAATACGGTGATACCCAAAATAACCCTAGGACGGACATGGTAATTTTTCAGCGTGCTGTACTTCAGTGTGTAACAACCCGCGGGACGCGGTCCTTCCCATTACAGCTTGAACTCGCGCCTTCTGATACCGGTGGGATAACTCTAAAGTACGAGTTGCCTCTAGATACTGACTCGATCGATTCAAAACTGGGGATGCTTTAATTTGGGATAGATTGAAAATGTTGCGAATTAATCGTGTTCATTCAGCCTACGCGAGTTGATCGTGCTCGACTTGATCAAGTTATAAAACACTCGTTAGAACCTGAGCTCAGGCAAGCCTTTCAAATCACCATCATTCTAACCAAGCCGACGCCCTCACAGTCCTGATCCATTGTGTTCTCTATCACCGATTTCGCGTAAGTAAAACTATTGGTCGTGACTTGTTGACCGGCTTTTCGCTAACGAGGTAGCACCCAGGATCCCAACCCACCATGCAGCTCACAGGCTTCACCGCGGCTGTGGCCGCTATCTTCTTCGCCACCAGTGCCAGTGCCACGTGCACCACATCCTGGGGTGGATCCCCTTGCTCAGGGACTCAGTTGGCGTGTTGTATGGATATCAGCTATGGCGTTATGGAGCAGAACAAAAAAGATGAGAATTGGAGATATGCTTGGACGCGAGCCAACTGCAATGACTGCAAGGCTTGAGCCTGAGAACGGGGCTTTAGACCGGGAAACTCATCTCTCTTATCAGATCACTAATCTAATTCCATCGAACAAGATAAGAAGGCTCATTAGTTGGGCTACGTCATGAGGTCTGCTAACGCATGATCCTTGATTCGCGAAGAAGCCAGATGCTATGCCTGATTGCCGAGGGAATTAATTTGTTCTTAGGCACTTTCGAAATTCAATACGCCAAATGCCCCTTGAGAACTCTAAAAAGCTTACTGTGTCTTTGATCATTATGTCCTATCTCAAGGTATTGTGCGTACCTTCTGCAGCATCGACCTCGATTTCCTCGAGCTGAACTATAGAGGGTTAGCAACGGCCCGCGCAGCAAACCCTCCCGGGGTACTAGTGGTAAGGGCCGGAAACCTCACAGACGAGAAAGCCAGGCACAGAGAAAACTTTGGCCCACCGGCTTTCATTCTGTCTTCTGCCAGGCCAGTTGAAATGTCGTGAACATCCGTCACCGGGTCATAGAGCAAAGAGCTGGACGAAGCGAGGAAGTCGGAACGCCTGGATAATCTGGCCACGAGCCGCCAAGCGCGAAGCGCCGAGCCTCACCAAGAAGCGCCCAGCGCTGAGTGGTCCCAACGTCACCCAACAATCCTCGTCAGCCAAGGACTTCCAAGAAAACCCAAGAGAACAGGGATCATATCGAAATGTCTGAGCCATAAAGTATTGACTTGGCCGACCCAAAGGTGGTCGTCACACCGGAATGCGTGCCCCGGGCTTCATCACTTTACCAGCTGCGGCGCCCCCTTCGGTCTCCACTCAGCGGAGAATGTGAACAACACTTGCTTCCTCCGCTTGGCGCCGAGGCCGCGCTGACACCGGTGTGAAATCCGGACTCCTCCGCTGAGTATTGGCGGCGGAAAACTAACCTCCTTCCTAGGTATTGCGTCCAATGATGGTCCTCTAAGATGCTGTCAGCCCCGGATGCCGAGTCACTTTGTTAAGACACTAAGACTCTTGTCATACCTCGCCACTCTAGGCAGTCCACTGTTTCTTCTTGGGCAAGTTTTGTATGTTACCTGTCTACACGTTCTCCCGACTCTTTCCGTAGCTATGAGCCCTCTCACCCGATACCTCTTCTATGCATCCTTCTCTGGTCGCTCTTTCCCTATGCCCGAAATACGTTCATTAGAAAAGTGTCATCAAGGTAGTTTGGGGAATCGTCCATCAAACTCGATTAGCGTAACCCATCTCAACTCGCTGAGTGGGGTAGTTAAGTCAGCGTCCTGGCATTACCAAAGTTGAGAGATTTATCAATTTCTTCAGAATCTACACCATATCTGGTCTTGAGCCAAACACTTTACTACCAAGCATGCCTCACATTTTGCTATGCGCTTTATGTCTGAACGACGCTACCGAGGCTGTATTAGATCATGTTCTTTGGCTGGCTAGAAGCCAAATCTTTAAGCGTCTAACCTGGGAGGAAGGACGCGTGAGTGTTACCTACGGATTTTCAATCCAGAAACAATCAAGCTGACAGATACCTCCCTGACAAGACGACTAGATTTGAGACATCCTCAGCCAAGTAGCAGATGATGACAAAACCCCTGAAGATCCAACGCTCTCCCCTGAAGAGATACTGATCCGCAGGTGAAGTCTTCTATTTATGAGATTCACCTGCACTTGGCCCGTCACGCCTTCCCTGCGACCCCATTTCTGGCAGCCCTTCGTAGGAGTATCAGCCGAAGCACGGATTTCTCGCTGTCTTCACCATGAGGACTTCGTATGCCCTAGCATTGAGAGCCGCCATAACCCACTACCATGATCTACAGGGCGTACTTGGCTCTGAATCAAAAGCGTTTGTGATCAGAACCCATACTCAAAAGATTTTGGCCGCCCAAGATCTGCAGCCAAGTCGCTCCTTTTTGGCCCGCGGCCAAGTATGCCCCTGGTTGACATACCACTCTTAAATATCCGGACTCTCGGCGCTGCAGAAGAATCAGTTGCCCTTCCGCCGCTCACCAGACCACTCTTCATCAGCATCGCTGAGCTACCGGGTGACTGTCATACCACACGAAGTCGAGCAAGCGTTATTGCCCATCGTCATTTGAAGTTCTTGCCCTCTGACTTCATTTTTTGCGGGATTTCCTTCTGCTCGTCTAGACATTCGTTTTGAATTTCTTTATCATCCTCTCGAGTTCTCCTTAGAATCTCTTTTCTTTTCTTCCTTCCAAGCAACTTCATGCAAACATCGTATGAGCATTAGCTGAAGAGATTATCATTATCCTCAAAGCCCTTGCTGGCCAAGGCAGCCTTTCTCGGCAAACGCACAACACTCCTTCTGGGCACGTCACACAAATATCACCCACACATTGAGAGTGAAGCCACCAGCGGATAGCCAAGATGCCTACGTTTGATCCCAGCGAATTGAATGTTGTTCTCGCTGTCTTTGGTGCGACCTCCGTACCTTACATGTTTTGGCTTTGACTAATCAGGTGTTCCCACCATGTCCAGGCGCGTTCATCATTCTATTTGGTATCATATCCGTCAAGATAAAAAATGTGTGGTACTTAGGCGAGGCCTGTAAGATCAACCTCGAACGTTCTCCGCGCTGTAGTTACCGTAGATACGGAGCGTGATACTCCAGTTCCCAAGGACCATTCACTGACTTGTTGTTCTCGATCAGTACCGGCCGTAGTGTTGGGCATATGCCTGGGCCCTATAGCTGCTAGGTTCATCGACAGCGAGAGGTGGGGGTCAGCTGTGGAGGGGCAGACCCAAGATATCACTCTCGTAAGTGCTTACAATTTGGCCTCATTACGATCTTGATCAGTTCAATGTGGAGTCTTGCGTTCAGGCACTGATGATTGGCTTGTGTCATAGGGGCTCACAAGAGTGATGATTGGCATTCAGCTGGTCATGGCTGGCTATCAACTCCCAGCAAAGTACCAAAAGACTAAATGGAAGGAGATGGCAATTTTAATGTTACCCATCATGACACTGATGTGGGTGGCGACGACAGGCTGTATCCTGGCAACCATTCCCAAGTTGACATTTCTGGGTGCTGGGGTCATCGCTGCCTGCGTGACCTCGACGGATCCAGTCCTGTCACAAGCCGTTGCCAAGGGACCTTTTGCCGACAAGTTCGTTCGGCGCTCTTTGCGTGAAATCATCTCTTCCGAGAGTGGCGCAAATGACGGCTTCGGTTTCCCGATATTGATGCTGACAACGTATCTCATCCGGCACGCGGAGGGATCTGAGGTGCACGCGGATGACTCGACATTGCACGCAGTCAGTCGTGAGCTTCTTCCGAGAGCCGGTGACGTCGCCCGCCAAGGCGGAGGCGTTGGTGTTGCTCTGCTGAATTGGCTGCTGGAGACATGGCTTTACTTTGTGCTCATGAGTATAGCCTACGGAATCATCATGGGAACACTGATCAGGCTTGCACTCAAGTATTCTGTCAGAAAGTAGGTTGATCGGTCAATGAACACGATTTCGGTAGTTTCTAACAGACACAGAAAGTGGATCGATTCCGAAAGCTACGTCTTAGTGCCAACAGCGATTGGTGTAAGTCACGGACACCGAATGCATGAAAGTTGGCTGACAACTCATAGCTCTTCATGATGGGTACTTCAGGAGCCATCGGAACTGACGATCTGCTATCTTGCTTCGTCGCTGGCAGTGCACTCAACTGGGATGGTGAGTACCTTGCAGAGGCACAGAAGCGGCACGACGAAGTCAACGCCAGCATCGACGTTCTTCTCAACTTTGGCGGCTTCATATATCTCGGAACCATCATCCCATGGAGCGACTTCAGCTCGGACATCACCGGCATCAGTCTCGGCCGGCTCTTTGCCCTAGGCGCACTTGTTCTCGTATTCCGCCGCATCCCCGCCGTGCTTCTCACGTACAAGCTCATGCCAAACACCATCAAAGACTGGAAAGAAGCATTGTTTATGGGTTACTTTGGTCCTATTGGCGTTGGTGCTGCCTTCTACGTCGAGCATGCGCGTCACCTCTTCCCTAAACTTGCCGAGGCCGAGGGTGACAGTGAGGTAGTTGACATGCTTCGGGCTATTGGTCCCGTTGTGTATTGGCTTGCACTCTTCTCGATTATAGTCCACGGAGTCTCTATCCCTATCCTCAATGTCATTTATGGGTTCATGGGCGTTCAACCGGTCCAGGAAGATGCCGTGGCAATTCGACGCCGATCTGTTCGCGTCCCTCCTCCATCGAATGCGGTCGAGGGCTACAAGGAGACCTTCATTGCCTTCAACCGTTTCTCTCGGCCGAATTTGTCGCAGGAAACACTGCCGCATATGGAGGATGACGGCTCATCCGTGGGAGATGAGAAGGTTCTACACCCTGACCTCGAATCCGGCCTCCAGGAAGCTAGGCAAAATGCAGGATTATCACCACGGAGAAGCTTCAGTCTCCCACGCCTTAGTGCACCTCGCAGCTTCAGTCTACCCCGGACAAGTATGGGTCAACTGAAATGGGAACAACCACATGTCACACAGGGATAGACTGTCTTGCTGCCTTTGGGATATGCCAGTAGAGGCGATATCGGAGGCAAGAGGCTGAACGATTTCGCGTAGTACCAGACGAGATATGTGGTATTTAAATAGAAATTTCCATCGCCAATGAGAACGTCTTGAGTGATACTATACAGCGAGCGAATCTCCTTAAAGGCCTTTCGATAACGATTACACCTATAGCATTCTGACCGACAACTGAGGTGATTGCCTGCATGATTCATCTGGAAGACTGGAAAAGCCCGATCGACGCACACGATCGAACAGCAGACTGGAATTGCCAGAGACACTGCTCTTGGTCATAAGGATAAGAATCCTTGCGGCTCCGAACGCCGACGTCTACATGGAATCTAGCTGTGTTATTCCGTCCGGATATAAGTGGACCATCGGGCCGAGCTGAACGGGCCGCGTATCCGCTGGCCGGCTGAGACCAGAACGATGGTAAGGGTTTGGATGAAGCATTCCAATGGCTTGCTCGAAGAATGACGTTCTTCGAGTCAAATGGCTATGAAAAGATTAGGATGAATGCATGTAACGTTCACACATCTGACCCAGACTCGTGATGCCTTGCGTCCATCATCAGACCAACCCGCAGGTTACCATCAGACAGGCCGTTCTGTGCATACCTTCCCGTTGCTTTTACCTCATCAAACAGACCATAAACTTCATGGATAAAGATTCCCACATCCAGAATAACAGAGATCAGCAAGTACAAGCCTTGAAATGCCGGACGTTGGGGTCGGATTACCAGGGCGTCATGCGGGCAGAAGACGTAATTGATGCGGGGAATGGACGCTATAGGGGACGATCCGGGGGTTTACCCCGCTGGACTTGGCGTATGTCATTCGCTGAGAGTGGTTGCGACCCCCTGAGCTCAATCATCTGATGCAATGTTGGGTTTCACAGAAATAACACTCGTCGATGAGCTCTACTTCATATTTGAGAGATACCTGTTACCTTTGGAAGCTCATATACTTTTCCTCTCTGGTGCTATGATAGACGCCACTGACTCATCGGCTTGTCTTTGTCCACGCGCTTGTTCGTAAGAAGCCCTAGACATACTTCCAGAAGCGTCTGTTCGCGTGTACCGAAGCTCGCAATCCTCCCATCCGTCCCTTGATTGGGTTTCGAGGCCTTAGCACCCATCCATCATGCGAGGCTTGGCAGTCTTCGCATCGTTAGCCGCAAGGCTAGTCCTCGGGCTTGAAAGCACTCGGTTCTCGGCGGCCACTCTGTTGGCTGAATCTGACGCAGATATCCCGAGTGCCAGTGACTGGGCAGAGAGGGCGGAGAAGGAAGGTCGGAGCCTCTGCATACTCGAGCCGGACGCTAACGGCGGGGACGACGCGCCGGCGCTGCTGAGCGCGCTCAACGACAAATGCCGCACCAAGAGCATCATTGTGCTTGATGGACCAGTGTACAACATCAAGTCGCCGATGGTCACCACCAGCCTAGACGACGTTGTGATTGATCAGCGTGGCAGACTACTCTGGAGCAATGACACGACGTACTGGCTCTCGGTCTCGATGCCTGTGGGCTTCCAGAACCAGAGCACCGTCTGGCACTTTGGAGGTGATGGTGTGGTTTGGGAAGGCCACGGAGTCGGAACGCTCGACGGCAATGGACAGGTTTGGTATGACCTCAATGCCGGCGGATCCAACATGCCTCATCGACCGATGAACATCAACTTTCGAGACTTCTCGAATTCGACAGTCAAAGGTCTCCGGTTCGTGCAGAGCCAAATGTGGACGATGAACATCATGTACTCCAAGAATCTCGTCTTCGAGGACATATACGTGAACAGCACCTCGTCTTCGGAGAACAACTCTCTCAACACGGACGGTGCTGACACCATGTACTCGGACAACATCACCTTCCGCCGTTGGGTGGTTGTCAACGGCGACGACGCAATCGCTCTCAAAGCCAACTCCAGCAATATCTACATTTACGACAGCGAGTTCTTCGGCAGCACTGGCATAGCCATGGGATCCATCGGCCAGTTTATCGGGCAATTCGAGTATATCGAGAACTTCTTGGCGCGGAACGTGACTTTACACGACACCCTGCGGGGCTGCTACTTCAAGACGTGGACCGGCATTCAGATTGGGTATCCGCCCAATGGCGGCGGCGGCGGTACGGGATACGCGCGTAACATCGTGCTAGAGGACATTAAGCTCGACGGCACCCGCGGTGAACCACTTTTCATCACTCAATGTGAGTCCTTCTCCGGACACGCGGGTGAGTCCTGCGATACGTCGACGTTCAAGATTTCCGATGTCGTCTGGAAGGACTTTAGCGGAACGATGATGGACGACGTGCCTAGCTCGGGCTTCTTCCGGTGCAGCGCGGCTGCGGGCGGGTGCAATAATCTGACGGTAGAGAACTTTTCCGTAACGCCCGTCGGCCAAGATACTGTCTTGGATAAATGGCTCTGCAAAAACGTTGAAGGCGATGAAGGATTCGACTGCCAGGAAATCGAGGAGAACACCGATGAGCTCTGAATATCAATTTCAGTAGTCGGCGACTATAATGATCCGGCGTATCCGGGACCTTTGGCGGTATAATAATCAAACGTGACACCCTTGGCGGCATAATGTCGCGGGGGCCATCACCGTTAGCGTTGAACTTGACCGCAATTTTCTAATCAGCGGCCGCTTAGTACAGTATGCTTTGATCTAAGTGGACACAGACCGTTGCCAAGAGGTTTATCAGAAGGTTGTGGTGATCGCTTTAAAGGGCTACGAAGTCCGCCGCGGGTCTCTACATACATGGCTGCCGCGTTCCTGGCAAAGAGCCTCGGCCGAAGCCGGGGACTTTGAACTCCGTACGCCGATGTTTTAGTTCTAAATTTCCAACGGCCTCCAACGGCCCAATGGAGGATTGAATCTTCCCGCAAAACACCAAATAGCCCGACGTCCGATGTTCTCGTTCTTGTTCTGTCACTGTTCTAGCCATGTCTGTGCAGTTCGCCTCCGACCTGCTGGGACTTATCAGAACATTGGTCTGCAGTTACTGTCCTGAGGCTTCCTCGCAGATTGATCCAGCCTTCACCACGATGCGAGTCTGAAAGCAGTAATTGAAGTGCAGATGATGATTATCTAAACGCCTAAACTCGCCAGGAATGGTGTTTCTCACATCAGCAGCTCCTTCACCGTCACCTATACTACGTGACGGTATAACAGTCGTCCCGGCACTGGCCTTGTCGGATGCTTGAACGTGGTGTGCTGTGCCAGCTAGCGCCAAGGGTGGCTGCGTATCAAGCTTCTGATCTTAGTTGCCGATCCTGCAGCTTATTCCCAGCGAGCCTTGTTCATTGCTCAACCCTGGCACAGTCGCAAGCCAGCCGTGTCAGAAGGGAGTGTTGACGGGCATGGCAGCTCGAGGCGAAAGCTAGATCATGATGGCAAAGCCTGCTTCTTTTGAGTGCTTGTAGCGGGGAGTTAGCGGGAGCGGAAGTTCTTCTCCTATTCTGGTTCTTCCCAAACGCTCGGACGCGTCTTTGTGCTGATGTTGATGTGGGCAGTGGGAACATCAAAACATGCGGCAAGCTGCATGCTTCCGTGCGAACTTCTTATTCTAGGAAGAGCTTTAAATCAAGTCTTCAAGGCATGACTCGACCGCGGTAAGATTTACCAAACATCGATTGAGTTCGTATCTCGATCATGACAGTTCCATGGCTCTCCTAAAGCGTTCCCAGGCGGGCCAGTCCTACGCAGATTCAAACACTTGGCGAAAGGACCGGGTCCACAATCCCGCGCAATGCATCCGCAATTAGATGGAGCCAGGAGAAGGGCGCTCTGTTGATTTCCATACTCTAAATTTGATGGCAAGACTTTTTCTCGGAGACGACTTGGCGCCCGAGTTCTACCCCCTGACGCTGATTCCGGTTGTTCCGGCTGCCGAGAAAAACCACGGGAAGTGAACCCCGTCATCCACGACTCCCAAGTTTCCCTATGTGCACGCAAGTGGGTAGAGTCCGACTCGAAATGATTGGATGATCCACCAGAAAAGGAACTCCCACATCCCTTTTTCGACGTTCTACTCTGTACCCACCGTCAGTTCATGGTTGGATTACAGTGATTCAGCGTGGAGACCGGGCGACTGCGAGCAAGGAGGCTCTAATGAAAACTGGGTTTTTTGGCTTACGTTCTACTGTACGTTGCCGGGCGCAATCACACACGCGTCAAGGAGGGCTTGGGTCGCGTGCCCTCCTTCCTGCGCCGAGCCATTCTTTTGCCTTGTGCTTGGCTGGAGTGATACCGTAATGGATCATGGATGGATGGTGGACATGTGGGATGGGGTGTGGGACGTCAGGTCGTCGTGTCTCCAGTCCCGCTCCGCCCTCCCTCCTTCGACCTTCGACGCCCCCAACTCTCCTATCAGATGGCTCCGTGCGGTTACGCCCACGCGTGTGGTCCTATTCCTGCTCAACTCTCAAGGCTGGGCGGAATTCCCAGTGCCTGGGGCGCCGATCTGACAACAATGCTTGGCCACGAAATGCTGCGGTTGGACTTGGTACACCTTCCGCCCGTTGTGGGTTTGTCCCGGTGAAGCGGGCTCTGGGGGATGGTGCCTAGGATGCTTATTAGTCTTGTCGTCCCTCTCTCCTATTTCTCCATGTGAAAGGGTTTCTGGTGGATTTGGCATTTTTATTGTAATATCTTCTTGTCACTCACTCCTTTCTTCTCTGCTTTGGGGAAGCGAAAGCTATTCATTCATTCGGCTTTCTCGTCAGGACAGTCCTCTCCAACTACCTTACATCTTTCACTTACTCGATACCCAACAAGATTTCAATTTTCTCTGTTTAGCCTATTATGGCTTCATCACTTGGCGCTTTGAGGAACGTGGTCGAACCAGCTTGTAAGTCCATCCCGCTCCACTGGCTCAATTTTCTCTCTCTAGTGTACTGAGACCACGTTCCATTACCTCTTCGAGTCCAAGCCTCATCTAACACCCTTTGCTCTTCTAGTCATCGTCTTTGCCTTCACTATAGGCACCCTTATTAACCGCCGCCGGCTGGATCGTGACGATGACGTAGACTCGTGTGAGCGTGGATCGGAGGATTCCTCCTCCCGCCCCACCTCTCCGCTCCTCAAGCCGGGGATGCGCGCGGAGTCGGGCGAGGTATCCCGCATCAACAGCAAACTTCTCGTTCGATTTTACAATACCTTCCCGTTCCTTGCTGAAATCTGGTATTGGAATGCAACGTACTGGTAGGAGATCGTCTTTCCCGTGTTAATAGTTCAGGTAACATGATTACGAACCGGTGCTGACCGTCTTGTTTGTCTCATAGGATATACCAACTGCTCCGTGCCTTCTCGGCACGTATGATTGCCGGTAACGAAGCAGTCTTTGCGCGAGCTCGCGACCATGCGATTTCCATTCTGAAGTTTGAGCACTTCTTCGGCATTGACGTCGAACTTGGCGTACAGAAATATGTCCTTACAAACATGCCCTGGTTGATGTCCTACTTGGCCAAGATCTACTACTTCCACATCAGCCTCGGCATCATCTTCATCATCTATTGCTACACATTTCTTCCGCCGAGCACATTTCAGAGAATCCGACGAACTATCGCCATGGACAACGCCATCGCCTTCGTCATCGTCACGACCTATCGTTGCATGCCGCCGCGCATGCTCCCGGCCGAATACGGATTCGAAGATGTGCTCCACGGAGCTAAGGGAGGAGGCAACGCGTGGACGCACAACAAGTTCCAGCTGACTATCGCCGCGATGCCGAGTCTTCACTGTGGTACTGCTCTCTTCCTCGCCTGGAGTATCTGCCGGTTTTCGCCTCACCGTCCGCTTCGTCTTATTGCGCCACTGTGGCCGATGGCTATGCTTTTCACGATCGTTGCAACGGCGAATCACTTCATCTTGGATGCCATGATTGGTGCGATGGTCCCTGTTATCGGATGGAGGTTTAACCGGGCTGTCTTGGTGTTGCTGCCGCTGCAGAATTGGGTGTTGGAGGGGCTGGGGTTGCAAACCCCTGAGGATGAGGACAATACTCCGGCATATGTCCCGAAAGAGTGGTAAGATAGAGCATGTTCCGTTGAAAGGAACATGAAGGATTTAGTGGGACACAGAGCAAAGCAATAATATCAATAGACAAGTGCGCTAACGATGAATATTCCAAACACATGATCGGATCGGATATCGGGGCCACACGCCTCCTGTGTTCTGACCCTTGAGTGTTCATAGGCCCAGCTTGGGTCTCCAAGTACTCATACTCTTACAGTAAGGGAATTCCAGGGATATCAGACCGCGATTCACCTGCTCACGCATCTGTCAAGACGACGAAGAATCCAACTGGGCAACCATCTTTGCTCTGCTGGAACATGAAGGTGGTGTCCGGCGAGCAGAGACTTCCTGATACAGTCACACTTCCCGGAACCTCAGCTGGAATGCCGCATGGGGCACTATTGACAATCTGCAGGCAGTACCATCAGTAACTGAATCGACGGCGGTCTACATCGGATTCTGTTGACGTTCAATACTCACATAGCTATGGCCGGGTGTCATCGTGGGCGGGGGGTTAGGCGGGCTAGGGCCGGGAGCAGGCTGCTTATTATATGTGGTCTGTCCAGCGACGGCTCCGACGCCAATGGCATACCCGGTGAACTTAAAGGTACCTTGTCCGAGGAAAATGAACTTCCCAGGTGCCTGCTCCCATGAAGGGAAGTCGAAGACGAGGTTGCACACCTTGCCTTGGGTCTGGGCAACGGGTAGATCGAGGTTGAAGACTGTGCAAATGTCCTTAGGTGTCACCTGCGCCCATTGCGTCGCAGGGAAGGCATAATTGGGCAGGTTCTTGGAGATGGGGACTAGAAGGCTGGTCGAGACGTAGGATTTACCAAGGCTGCCATCGGGCTGGGCGGCGTTGACGGGGCAGCTGGCCTTGCCGCCACGTTTGGTTGTGGAGGTGGTGGCGCTGGGTGCGGCGACGACGGAGAGAGCGAAGGTGAGGGCGCTGGTGACGGTAGCAATCTTCATGATGGCGGTTGTATTGCAATTGATTGCTTTAACGAGCGGTAATTCGTGGTTTAAGAGGCGAGGATTGAGACGAGGAGCTTGGAGACAGTGAAGTAGGCGACAATGAGCAAATAAGCAAGAACTTTCTTGCCAAGAGATGAAAACGAGGCCTTCATATACGTCGAGCTTGCTTCGCTGGAAGGAAGGCTGGGTACGTGATGGTCCCGGACTATAGCTTGGACGTAGTAACCGTCATTGCTCGATGAAGTTTAGTTTTCTTCTACCACAAAGAAGCTTTCGACGTGGAGCGCCTTCGACCCCAAGCTCGCGTGCTTTGTATTGCGATGTTCTAGCGCCGTCACGAGCGGCTAGCGATGGATCGGCGCTTCATCTTCTTAGACAGTCCTGAAAGGGGGAATAGAGTTTTACCGTTGGATCACCAGTGCTTGAGTTTCTTCTTTTCCTTTACGATCGCCGTTGTGGCTTCCCATAGCTTCCTGAAGTGGCGCATTTTGGCGCCGGCCACGAGATTTCAGCTCCGTGCCTGAGCGCGGAATCGCGGCACGAATAGACTCCAACGTTGGCCATCGTCAGCGCTAGATCTCACAGCATCCACTCAGTGAAATGATATGTTTCTCTCGAGTCTCGGTGTCCTCTCAGCCCCGCGGGTTGCGCTAGTTTGTCCGAATCCTGCACCGTGGTGGCGTTGCGGCTCGTTGTCATGTCGAGGTTGGTGAATGGAGTCGTCGTCCAGCAACGCAGGGTCACGATACAATGATGAGAAATCAGAGAATTGCGGTGCGCGCTGAGTACATCGAGATTGAATTATTCAGAGAGACCGCAACTAGCCTGATTTAATACCTGTTGCATATTCGCAGCTGAGCCTTTTCCGGTAGGGCAGTTTATCTGCTTTACTCCCGGGTGCTGACCTTGCTAAGCTTCCTCTTGGCCAAACTGCTACTATCACCGACGTCCTTCCCCAAATCACTCTTAGAATTCTGGCCATCAATGATGACATTGTTCGAGTAGACAACCCCATCAAAGATTTCATCCATCTCCTCCAAGGTCCTGCCCTTGGTTTCGACAAACAGCCAAGTAACGACAAACAGTATTCCAAGATTCCAACCACCGTTGATGGCATAGTATCTCCAAGAGATCCTTTCGATAGCAAGAGGAGTGGTGTAAAGGTTGAGGAAGCTGAATGCATACCCGATTGCTTGGGCAACTACGACCCCTTTGGCGCGCTGAGAGTATCGCAGCACCTCGGGAGGGTAAGTGTAGGCCAAGATGCTCCTGCACGACTTTTAGTAAAGTTGAGGGAATCGAGAGTTCGTTCACGTACCAGCTTGCCGCAACTGCAAGTAGGAACAGGGCAACAACGACAATCGCACCGATGGCATACGCATTTGTTTCGGGATGGACCTCGGTCAGGTAAGACAGGCCAGCCAGAATACCAAACAGAATAACTGTGGCGGAGGTTCCGGTTACTAGGTAGAAAGACAAGGAGGTCAGATCAATCCGACGGAAGACTCATATCGAGGGGCATCTACTCAATGGCTTGCGAGCTCCTATTTTGTCGATGAGGAGGACACCGCCCACGCTGCAAAAAGCCTTCCACAGCAGCAAGCCGATGTTGATCTGGATTACAGACTTCCTCTCAGAAACTCCTAGTTTCCCAATCAGGAAGGACGAGAAGTATCTAGAAGATTCCGTTAGCGCTATAACAATCAGAATATGAGTATCCTCTTTCAACATACAGGATCATATTTCCGCCCAAAATTTGATAGAAGATATTCGTTAGTACAGCGATTGTGAACCGTTTCAGGTTTGGAGCTGTTACGTTTCCCCATTGATTAGTTGTCAACTCGACGACATATGTTGGCTGAAGCTAGCTCACATGGCGCAATGAGGTCTTTCCATCCTCCATTACTCTCCTTTTCGTGGTTCAGAGCCGCGACAATTTCTTGTGTCTCTGAAAGCACCAAAGCATCTTCCCTGTTTCCGTTCGCATGTAATCGAGCGAGTACCCCTATTGCCTTGAGAGTTGTTCAGTCGAACGATCCTGAACTGGGAGTATATTTCACGTTGTTACCTCGTCATGGCGGCCCTTTGAAAACAGCCAGCGTGGGCTTTCGTCGACGAACGGTAAGAGGGACAGGGAGATGATAGAAGGTACTGCTTCTCCCTGTTTAAGAGACATCAGATAGAGCCTCGATGATGTTTGGAGGGGATAGGCACTTACTAGCATAAGCCCTCTCCATGCCCAATCAGACTGCTTGTCGTAGATGCCCAGGACAATGCAACTGACCAAGAACGACGTAAAAGGTACGGATGTCAAGACGGTGCTTGAAAGAATTGAGCTGTATTTTGGCGCCGCCACCTCCATGACCCACATGGGAGCAATGGAACCATTGATGAGGGAGGCAAATCCGATAATGAAGCGGCCGACGATGAGCTGTGGAACTGCGTTGCTGGTGAGTAGTCGTACTTGCGAAACATTTCCGTAGGAGCTCTCACCCTTCGAGGCCGAAGCTTGAAGTACAACTCCGAGAATGATCCAGATGGAGCCAACGGCGAGGCCGGTCTTCCGTCCCCAACGGTCAACGACGGGACCCACTATCGGGGCGCCGAAGATCGAACCGGCACTAATGATGGCAACATTCAGTCCAATCATATCGCTATTCAACTTGAAGTCTATTGAAAGTCATTAGCTATGGAAAGTGAGTCGAGCAGATAAACGCACAGTCTTGGTATGGCTTAACCGAGTTCAAGTTATTGATCATCCCAGCATCGTAGGAAAGAATGCAGATGTTCAACATGGCCACGAGGACCATGAGCACGTGTGAGACGATTGGCCCCGGGGTGAGCAAAGCCATGATGGCAGAGGATCCAGGGTGCGGAGGTGTATTTTCTGCTGGTGTTACAGTTGGAGTCTGAGTTTGAGGCTTAATTGTCTCCGTAGACTGGCAGTCTGGTGTACTCAAGGGTTGGTTGTGGTGATTTGGAGAATCTAAAGTCAATGTAGCAGTTGTCAACTCATTCGCAGACAACTCAAAAATCTCTTCTTGACGTTGACCTGAGCGCTGAGCCGGCCACCTGCGCATTTTTCTCTTTTTTCGAGGTACGCGTTAGAGATACCACACACTCTCTTGCTACACACCATGAAGCGATAGATAAGACATTCCGGGTTAGATCAACGAACCCACGAGTGTCCGGTGATAGGGGTGCACCTGAACCAAACGCCGTAGATTCAGAGACAGCGCGCTGTCTGGCTGTGTGCGTGCTGAGTTGTGCGGCATGCTCATAGCTGAGCGGCGTATTTCCCGAGAGTGCCGAGCTTTAGGCACTAGCTTCGGCCGAATGCCTCAGGCTAACATTATAGTTCCCCCCTTCTCCCCTTTATGATCGCATAATGGGAATTCCCAAGGACCCTCAGTTCTGTACAGTAAGGTACGTGTGACGAATTCCCGTACAGATGTGCATCCGCCATTAGGTTTCCGTCTCCGACGTTACGACTGCGCTATACGTACACGCCAGCAGTGTCTCAATCGGCTTTCAAGTTCCAGAGCCCGATTATGATGGTTTACCGACGCAGGCAGGAATCAGTTTGAGAGTTCTGACTCGCATGGTACGTGGCATGGTAGAGACGGAATGCCCGCCGAGAAAACGTTTCCAGTTCAGCTGGGCGCTGAAAGTTCGGCAGATGTAATTTGCAGGGAGTGCACGGAGTCCCTGCACCCAACCACAACATCTCAATATTCTTGTATGGAGTAATAGTGCAAGCAACATGACATCGTGATAGACTCACTGCAACGTCAATCTCTGAGAACTCATGCCAGGCCAAGAAGTCAAGATCCGCCCAAAGACGTTTTCATACGCTCATGGCCTCATTGTCTACTTACCACAGTCCCTCGCATACGTGCATTTCGCCAGTCCTTTCAGTCAATTGGCATGGGAGAATTGGCAAGTCTTTACGAGAATAAACTTGGCCATCCGATTTTGAACACAACGAATTTTATGGACTTTTCGAACGTAACTACATATTTCAAACCTGATATATCGAATCATCATTCCAATATCTCTAAATCATGCATCTAGTGGGCATGCCAATGCCGTATACTCTAATAAGTTGGTTACGTTACAACTCAAAGCAGTCTTAAGTGTGCAAGCTTCATCAAAAATCCAATCACCAGTACCCGCCGGGGGGCGGAGGCACAGCTACATCGTTAAGATGCCCCGTGACACCGTTTTTGATGTCCTTAGCGACCTTGGGAAACTGCTCCTTGGCAAACTCCAAAGGGTCCCAGGGCTTCAGCTTGGGGAACCGCTTCTTAGCCCACTCTTCCGGGGCGGCCTCAATGTCATCCCAGGGAATCTTGTAGAATGCGTCTCTGTTTTGTTGTCCACTCTTGTGCACTGCATTGGACCGATGGTATCGGATCCGTTGTGCGGCTTCAAGTGCTAGTTTGACGTCTCCGTTGGATGATTGTAAACACTCAGCAACCGTTACCGCGTCTTCGAGAGCTTGAGAAGCGCCTTGTCCGGCAGTAGGCAGGTTGGCATGAGCGGCGTCTCCGATGAGAATCGTGCGGCCACCTTTGCTAACCCAAGTGTCTATGGTTGGCCGATAGACCAGCTTGAAGTCAATGGTCTTGTTCGAAGGTGTAACGTCGAGGAGCGCTTGTGCATCTCTTCCTGGGAAGAAACTCATCCACTTTGCTACATGTTCTCTTTCGGCGATATTGGACCAAGATTCGGATGATTCTTTGTCGTCCTATCAACGTGTGTCAGTAAGTAAGTTATCGACATTATCCTGGGTAGACGCTGAAGCGCTCACCGGATGAACCAAAACCCAGGCAATATCTTGAGCTTGGTTCCAAACAAAGGCCATCAGGCTCAAGTTGTCATACATCCAGAAGCGAACAGTGTCTCTGTCCTCATGGAAAAGATCCTTGATTCCGGGGTGATTTCTCATCGTCTCGTCAGTCTTGAAGAAACTTCTGAATACAGACCAGCCGCTCGTGGTCTCGTCGATCTTCTTGTCGTCAAGATGCAAAACCTGCGCTCGAGCGATGGATCGTGGGCCGTCTGCGGCGATGACACAGTCGGCCCAAATAGTCTCGCCAGTGCTGAGCTTCACACCTGCTTGGCCTTCTTCTTCAAGGTAATCCGTGACTGAGACGCCGATCCTAATGTCCTGAACACAGGTCTTCGCATAAGTAAGGAAGATCGAGTGAATTTTGCCTCGGTGGCCTGCATAAGTGATGTTGTGCTCTTTTCCATCCCTTGCCCACGGAACATTAACGATGAACTTGCTGTCGTACTTATACAGCTCCATGGTGCGGATTTGACTACAACCTGTGTCGTGGATTTGCTGGCCAACCTTGCCCCCATCCCATCGATTGATGATATGGCCAGCATTGGGGAAGAAGTCAAGAATATCTGCCAAGGAGAACCATAGTGAGTTTCGTAGATCATTGCGATCAAAGCTCTGGCACACAAAAAGAGGGGCGGATTTGCGATGCTTACCACCTTGGCTATTGGAGTCAGGATACTTCTCTAACACCGTGACATCCATGCCACGGTGTGCACATTCGATTGCGGCTCCAAGCCCGCCAAAGCCGGCGCCAACAATGATGACTTTCAATTTCTTGCCGGCAGTCATTTTTATAGGTTTGTGTGGAGTGACTGTAAATCAAGTAAAGAGTACGATGCGTTGATGCTCTTTTTTCAGACAAGCTGGCCAGTAGCTGCAGCTTCAGACTGACATATATGAATCCTCGGACCTTGGACTGAAGACGTTTGGTATCTTGGCACGAGGGAGAATCATTCGACGCATCATGAATGATTGCAAATATGGAATGCCGCGGCACCCGAATTCCAGCGAACCATCCCTCCAACTCGGGGTCGCCAGCCGAAGGCCCGAGATGCCCGAGATAATGCCTCTTACCCACCTTCGCCGTCTTACTAGACCCATTGCTCCAACGACATGGACCAACTGAACTGCAACTGAATCAAAGTAATTTCCGGTTCAGGTCGCGAGCCATTTCTTGTACTTGAGACAATATTCTGAAAGCATCTTGTGCCAAAGGACTTCGTCATCTCCTTATTGACATCACTCTCTGCTGTTGTTCACTACATTCAATCCTAGGTCGAGAAAAGCGTTCGCCAGACTCGAAAATGGCAACCATCCAACAAGATCAAAAACAGGATGTGGGAGTGATTCAAGGCTCTCAGAATGGATCTAAACATGTTCCTAAATTTGAGACCCTACAAGTCCACGCAGGGCAAACTCCTGACTCTGCAACACTGGCACGTGGGGTCCCGATCTACTCGACCTACGTCTTCAACTTCCAGAGCTCAGCCCATGCTGCCCGGCTATTCAACCTTGAGGAAGAGGGTGAAATTGCGACCCGCACGGGCAATCCAACTACAGCGGTGGTTGAGCGCCGTGTCGCAGCCCTTGAAGGTGGCGTTGCGGCCGTGGCAGTTTCGTCCGGCCAGGCAGCTGTGTTCATGACTATGGTCGCTTTGGCCGGGCACGGCGAGAACATTGTAGCGACGAAGCATTACTATCACGGCGCATACAATCAATTCTCTTTTCTCCTACCAGAGTTCGGCGTAACATGTCGCGTTGTAGAAGAATCTGTGGAAGCAGTCCGAGCAGCAATCGATGAACGCACCAAAGCCGTCTATATCGAGACTATCGGACACCCTAACTTCAATGTTCCGGACATCGAAGCCATTGCGCAAGTTGCTCACGAAAAGGGAGTTCCCCTTGTCGTTGAGAACACCGTCGGGTGCGCATACTTCTGCCAGCCCATAAAGCACGGAGCAGACATCGTCGTCGAAAGCATGAGCAAGTGGATCGGCGGTCACGGGAGTGCAACCGGCGGTATAATCGTCGACTCTGGCAACTTTGACTGGAAATCTTCAACTCGGTTCCCACAATTTAACAAACCATGCCCTGGCTTCCATGGGTTGAACTTTTCCGAGCGATTTGGGAGAGAGGCCTTTATCATGCGTATTCGAGGGCAGATCCTCCGAGACGTTGGCTCCTGTCTTTCTCCTTTCAACAGCCAGCAATTCGTGCTCGGGATCGAGACTCTGAGTTTGCGTTGCGAGCGACACGCTCAGAATACCATTGCTCTCGCGAACTGGCTTGAGAAACATGAGAACGTAGTGTGGGTTTCGTATCCTGGTCTTCCTAGTCACCCTCACTATAAGCTCGCGCAGAAGTATCTACCCCGTGGAGCTGGGGCTGTACTTATGTTTGGTATCAAGGGCGGAGCGGATGCTGGTGAACAGCTGGTAGACAATTTCAAGATGATATCGAATAACCCAGGGTAAGTGACGAAGGCGGTGCAGTTGACACCCACCTGTTACTTGTGCTGATCTCTAGTCAGATATGGAGACGCAAAAACGACTGCCATGCACCCCTGGTCGACCACACATAAACCTATGCTACCACAGGAAAAGATCGATCTAGGCGTTGCGCCGGAAATGGTCAGGGTTTCAGTCGGCATCGAGCACATTGACGATATCATCCACGACATTGAACAGAGCATGAGCATCAGTCCCGCTGTTCCAAAGGCATAGATTGGGCGAGAGCTGGTGTCCCTATACATTCAATATAAAATATTTAGTTTGCTTCTGTTTCAAATTCCGGGCTACCAAGTGCCGTAAAGTACTTTCAAACGTACAATCATCTGTCTTCGCCGGGTTTATAAGATTTTATGGTGTTTGCCTGTCCACGTGGTGCGTTTCTCATCAAGTCGGTTCATATTTACACTACGCATGTTCAATGCACGAAATACTAGCATAAGTATAATCACTACAATACACACAAGTACTTGGAGCTACCTAAGCTTGAATATCTGCTCTCTGGGGATCTGTAGTAACCTGCGCAATGTCATCATCAAGGTCCTGGTCCCAAATCCAACTCATCCTGTTTTTCATAATCTCCTTGATCTTCTCGAGGTCGTCCCCCTCAGCTTCAAAGTGCCACAAGTGACCAGCTTCTCGGCTTGTAGCAACGAGATTTTGCGTGCGTTCAACTCGAGCTTGACTGAAAGATTTGAAAACGCCAGGCAGATCTTGTGCTTGCTGGACATTGTGGAGGAGCCTCCCAAGAACATAAGCGTCCTCCACGGCCATACCCGCACCGGCTCCTTGAAAAGGTGTTGAGGCGTGCGCAGCGTCTCCGAGAAGACAAATCCTGCCCTTGTGGTAATTTTCCATAGACGAAAGATCGAAGAGCGCCCAAATATCTGATTGGCCCATGAGTCGAACAATGTTGAGTACATCCGGACCCCATGCGCTGAAGCTCTGCAGCATCTGTTCTTTGGTTGCCGGAATGACCATGGTCTTGTGAGGCCATTCCTTTGATGACTGGAAGGCGACCACGTTCATCATTCTGCCACCAGCAACGGGAAAGGTGAGCATGTGGCTATGATACCCCAGATATGCTTGACAGTTCTTCGCCTTCTCTTCGCCTAGAAGCTCCACAGCTTTGTCCATCGGAACCATTCCTCTGTAGCAGTATTTACCGGTATAAGAGGGTTTGATGGCAGGATGATCTTCTCCAAGCACGATGCGTCGGGTTTGACTCTTGATCCCGTCGCATCCGATGACTGCACTATGCCTCGCCGACGTCCCATCCCCAAACTTCAAAACAACACCATCGTCTCCAAGGTCGTCTATATCGTGTAAAGTCTTGCTGAACTGCGCTATTCCATTCGGAAGGAGTTTGGCTATCTCATCAACAAGATGCGAACGATTCACCATCCAGCTTCCTGGTTGAGGATGCTCCACAGAGCAGAGGTACGTCCCGGCAACGACACCACGGGCTCTGGCAGTCTCATCGGCGCTGTCCATCCCGACTCTAAAGTCGAACCAGATGTTTTCCTTGTCTGCGAAAATGTTTCTGTTCGCCCGAGCTTCAACCGCAGCCGCCAGTGGCTCCGATATCTTCGTAATTGCTCGTACTGCATTTGGTCCAAAGGCGACACCGGCTCCTATTTCGCCAAATTTCGGAGCATTCTCATACACAGTGACCGGGACCTTCGTGTGAGTTGTGATGTATAGGGCCAGGCAGAGGCCACCGATACCACCGCCAACGATGGCTAGACTGAGGTCTTTGTCTGGTGACATTGGAAATCAAGCACGTAATCGATAATCAAAGACAATGATGGGGCGTTGGGTAGATGTCAGGCTCAGAAGACAGATAACGCAGTGTCTTAGATATGAGATACGAGCTGACACAGATGCATTATACTAGATAATAGAATCCGATAACGTTTCTTGATGCTTCAGCTAGTGGCCGAAGCGTCTGAATCTGGGTGCTGTATTCTACCAACCATTCCGGTCGGGCATTAGCGAGAGTGACCCTATTGTGACCATGTCCTATGCGGTAAAGAATTCAAAATTAGTACCCGGAACACATTCTTGCGTGGAGGCCTGGCAGAATGACCGAGAAACCGAGCTACTGTAAGCCGCATAGCGTGTCGGCCGAAAACTCCGGAGCTCATTTTATGCCCTAGGCATGTGACTGAGATGATACCATCTGCCAGGGATGGGGAAGCAATTGGCATTGGCATAATGACTGGAAGGCTTCGGGGAGGTCAATAGACAAGACATGATTAACGTCTTCTCAATGTTCATTTGAACTTTAACTCACACCGTTGAAAGAACACAGCACAACTCAGTTGACCCAGCACAAGTCATTGCTATCACAAAACTTATCTACAATGTCTGCTCAATTTGAGCTCTACTACCCAATCTTAAGGGACAAGTTTCAGCAAAACCTGTTGGCAGTGGCAGGATGGACAATTCTTTGCGCTTGCGCCTTCGGGGTGCTGCTTCTCTGGTCATTTGCAGTCGAAGTCAGAATGCCCAAACTTTCGATTGCATTGGAAGATGAGGTACCCGATCGACAGGAGCGAATTGATATTTTCATTAAAGACACAAGAAGGTTGTTCATCACAAGTTACAACAAAGTACGTTCATTTCTTTTACGATTGTGAATAGCAACAACGGGGTCTCAAGCTGATCATTCTGACAACAATAAGTTCCAAAATCGGGTATTTGGGATAAACACGACTGAAGGTTAGTTGAGAATACTTGGGAACATTCGCGAAATGTTCCCTGTCGTTGACCATATTGCAGGCACGAACATCATTATACCCCTCGAGCTACTCCACGGGCTAGGAAGCCACAAGTCCCTGAGTTTCGCTGCATTCCTCGAGGAAGAGGTACGTACCTGGCATGAGGTTTACTTAGTCTCGTAACAGTGAAGAAGTCATTTCTAACTCGCTAATCGATGTTTTGGGGATGGTAGTTTAGCATGAAGAAGTACACTAAAGTTGGCAACCTCGACGAGAAACAAATCGCCGTCGTAAACAAGAAGCTGAACCCGAGTCTTCGTAAGCAGCCCTCAGGAGTTATTATCCCAAGACTCCATCATGCATCTAACTCTTCTCAGCGCAATATGTTCCAGTACTTATTGACTTAATACGTACCCACTGGTCACTCGAAACCTATGGAGGTAAGTCTCGAATCCTTGACTCATTCAGTCAAAGCGACCTAGCTCTCAAGCACCTCTTGAAGACTTTCAGACTCCGCCCAAAAATGCTTCCACCTTGGACAATACTTACTTTTGAGCAGTCCCCACAGTCGTCAAACCGTGGCCACACGTTATGCGTCAAGTTTCTCGTGTCTCCGCAAGACTATTCCACAGCGCTGAATCGGCGGACAATGATCAATGGCTGGACATTGCTAGCGAGCATGTCCACTCTGCTGTCGTATGGACGGAAAATCTGAAGAAGTGGCCAGCAGCGCTGCGACCTTTTGTCTATCGATTTGTCAAGGGACGCGGAATCATGATGCAGCGCTTTGGCGAAGGCAAAGCTTTGGTAGCCAAGACTTTGCAAAGAAGAAGGTTGCTTGGAGGGAAGCCCCTGAGCAGTCCTCCCGCACTGTTGGACTATCTCGCCGACACGGTTCTTGGGCCAGACGACGTGGAGGCGCACACAGTCGCTCAAATCAACTTGTGCGTAGCCGCCATTCAATCTATGGCTGCAACAGTCACCCAGTGTCTCATGGATCTTGCGACTTACCCAGAGTACATTTCTGAACTTCGTGATGAGATTGAAATGGTTCTGGCTCGAGGGAACGGGGTACTCAGCAAGCAATCGTTGACGGATATGATGAAGCTGGATAGTGTCATCAAAGAAACTCAGCGATTGAACCCGCCGGATCTGGGTACGTATAAGCCCAACACAACACTACGGCAATGAGAGGACGATTCAACTGACATCAATGAATCATAACAGCAAGCTTCCAGCGGAAGGTTATGTCGGACTTCACATTATCAAACGGCCTTCGCATCCCGAAAGGCGCACGCATCGCATTGCCGACTGGAGCCATCAACATGGACCAAGATCTGTTCCAGAATCCTGAGGTGTTTGATGGTCTCCGATTCTATCGAATGCGCGTCGCTACAGAAGAGGCCCGAAGCAGCAATCAAATGGTGACGGTAGGTAAAAAGGACCTAACATGGGGTTATGGCAGGCACGCTTGTCCAGGTCGATACGTTGCCGAGGTCGCCATGAAGCTGCTTCTGATCGAGTATATCACGCGCTATGATATCCGGCTATCTGGGGATTTGAAGACTCGGCCGAAAAATATTGAGTTCGAGGGATTGGTGAGAACGACGCCTTGCCTTCTACTATGGACTTCCGGAATGCCATTGGTTTTCTAACGAGCACAGGTTATTCCCGACCCCGACTGGGAGTTGCTGTTGACGAGTCGACTTACGAACAAGATTGCTTCAGATCGAGAGAGCTGAGTTGGAGTTGAGTGATAAGCGTTATCATGGAGTACATGCAGCCGTGGGAAAGGAATTAGGTGAATTTGGTGCATTTGGAATGGTAAATAGAAATAGGTAGCATCCTGGGTATCCATGTTTTGTTGTCTGCCATTTTCAGCTACTGCATAAGTCAAACCAGATTGTCAAATTCCAGTCGGCATGCGCATCAGATTTCACATTAGTGGTATACTAGTCAAGAAATGTGGTGATCGGATGACGGCCAACTACGTAGGAAGTAAAATGACTCGACAAAAAGCTTCTATTGCATGGACACACCGCCTGTCACAAACATGTACTCGCCGTTGATGAACCGTGATCGCTCCTCAGCTAAGAACGATACTGCCCATGCGACATCTTCAACAGATGCCGCACCACCTTCCACCGGTGTATCTCTGATGAAGACTTCTCTCAATCCTTCCCATTCTTCGGGAGAGAAGTGCTCCAGAAAACTGTCCGTCAGTACTGGGCCTGGTGCAACCATGTTGACCGTGCAGCCGTACTTCGGTGGTAGTTCCTTTGCCCAAACACGCAAGATTGCATCTAAAGCCCCTTTGGTCGCTGCGTAGATTCCTTGCGTCGGCTTCGGGACTCGGGACGCCGCCGACCCCACCATAATGATGCGGGAGCCGCCAATGGCGCCAGACATGTTCGGAGGGTCGGCCGGTTTGTAAGGCGTGAGATGTGGTAGCGCTGCTTTGACCAATGCGAAAGCGCCGCGTGCATTCAGGTTCATCGCTTGATCCCACATGCTCAAGTCAGCGTCCCAGAGATGTGCAATGGGCACATATCCGGCATTGCTCACGAGGATGTCGATGTGACCGAACCTTGCCACAGCTTGGCGCACCAATTCTTCTGGCCCGTCATCCGACGTAAGGTCGGCACAGACCGCGATCCAATCAGTCTGAAGTTTCGCTCCAGTGGCTTCGCATTCTTGCTTCAAAGAACCCCAAGGGTAGTTCAGGACGATGTTTGCTCCACGACTTGAGAGTTCCATTGCGATCCCAGCCCCAATACCCTTTGACGAGCCCGACACGAGGGCTACTTTGTTCGTCATGGTCCCCCGGGGTGACATGGGCGCATGAATTGGTGGTGACATGATCGGCGCGGGCGTTGAATGGAGCGAGATTGTCTAGTAAGGGAGTTTGAGAAAAATGGAGCAGTGAATCTAAGTTTCACAAGCAAGAATGTAAATAGGAACCTTGTCAACCTGATGATTTCCAGAATCGCAGTGGAAGTAAGGGAGCCTCTATTTAGTAAGGTAAAGTACTTTGGTCATTGATATGTGCGTCCCGGTGGTTTGAGAACCATACTTCGAACGGATCTTCGGGATATGTGTACCGAGAGAGGCCGAAGGCAAATATCTCACCAAATAAACAGCTGGTTCGTATTCGAGACAAGAATATTATCACATCCGTGGGTATTCTTTCCATTCCCAAGACTCATTGGATCCAAGCTGCCTAGAAAACCCAAGCCAAATACTGCGCAACTAAGTAAAGAACCAATACACTTGCTTCATTTCTGAATATGCTCTTGACACTGATGAAACCGCCGCATTCTTCTTACTGTTGCCTAAGCTCTCTCACGTATGCTCCGTAGCCTCCTTTCTCAGTGCCTTGTTTGTGCCCGGAAATCTATGCCTCAATAGGCATGGTAGGGAAATCCTTGAGTCCCGGCAGATCCTCGTATTTCTTCGTGAAAAAGGCACGAGGAATATCCGGCCCCCAGCTGGAAACCGTGGCAGCGACAGCTGGCTCATTGGCATTTGGAGAGTCTTCGTTCACGAGGTCGCCGTCAACGTAGTGCTCGACAACAAATCCGGAGGGATCAAACCTAGACAGGAATATTAGGGATGTCATAAGTAAGGAAGCATTTGAAGTCAAGACTCTTACCAGTAATCAAATATCTGGCTGCCGAGGACATGTCTTCCCACCCCGAAAACGTTGATATGTCCCTTGCGGATCAAGTAGTGATGGCCAACCACTTGGCTGTCAACATCATCTATCTCCCAGCTGCTGTGATGAGCCTTGATCCCATCGGTAACCTCGGGCGAACCAGCGATGAAGATATTCTGCATATCATGTGTCAGCTCATACCAAATCTTAGAGAGTTCGGGAAGATACTAACATGATGATCGACGAATTCCTTGCCCTTATCGAGGTGAATGAAGATCATGATTGTCTTATTATTCTGAGGGTGGTAAAGGCAATCGGTCTTTTTGAAATTAAAGACCTTGCTGTACCAGTCAAAGACCTCGTGCAGACGATCAATGTTCACTTCGAACCCGTAATGACCGAGCTTGTGTACTTTCGAAGGTTGGTCTCGATCTGGTCGCTGGAACTCACCGAGCCTCTTCTTGTCCTCCCAAGTGTTCCACATTACCGGCTTGGGAACCTCCCTAGGCTCAGGGACGCGGTCTTCTTGGCCGTAGATCAAAGTGATTGGCTCTCCTAGGAGATCCTTGACAATGACGACTTTCCCCCCACCTGGAGCATCGTAGTCGGTAATCGGGGTAGATCCGGGGAGCTTCGCCGCCTTCTCTAGCTCAGCCATGGACTGCACAATCCAAGCGCCCCCCCTGAACTTCCTCATTCCATCATTCGTCTTCTCAGCAACATAGCAAAACTGATCAATTCCGAATCCTCGTAGATAGACCTTATCCTCGGTCTCCCGCACAGGTATCAAACCAAAGTCGGTATAGAACTCCTTTGCTTTCTGAATATCGGGGTGGCCATAACGAACGTGAGAGAGGCGATCCAAAAGGATGCGAGAATCAGCCGAATGTTGGGCCATTGTGTGAACGAAACAGGATGTTGACGAGCAGTCTGAGAGGCAAAGTAGCGGAGGGATTCAATGTGGATATGAAGGTTTAACGATCACGCTTGTTGAAGAAAAGTGACAATTACTGGTATTTCCACGCTTCTTATTGCCTTCGCTCTCCGAATCCCCGAATTGGGGTAAACTGACCAGCGACTCAACTCCCGTGATCTCGGTGTAAGTTGCCGAAAGGCAAATCCTTGGCCGGCCATTCTCTCCGGCACAGTCCACCACTACCATCAACGCCCTGCAAGACCAGACTGCATCGGCGTAATGTCTCCCATCCTATTAAGATATAACTTCATTCGACCGACGACAAAATTGTGTTTGCTTCAGAGCAGTCAGAAACCCCCCTTCTTGTTTTCGGATCACTCATAATCAAAACAAAACCGGGAAAAAGACATATCTTCATCCCAACAAGTTGCCATGTCATTTGACAGATTGATACGATTTGAAGACGCGGAAGGCGTTGAGAGATATGGCAATATTGACAACAACATTCCGGCATCGGAGCTGCTTGGAAAGACAGTGCAAGTCGTATTGGGTACTCTGGAGTCTGGCTTCAACGTATCTGATGATCAAGCCGTAGTCGGCAAAGTAGGATCATCCAATCTCGAACTTGAATATACACAGACTAACCTCACTTACATAGTTGTTGTGTCCGCTGCCAAACTCACCCCTCATTATCTGTGCTGGGGTCAATTATAAGTCTCATGCAAGCGAAACAAAGGTGAGAGTGATGCAAACGAACGTGAAAGGCTTTCAGGAAAGCATGCGCTAAGTATCACTTCTCAATTTCGAAGTTTCAACCGCCCAAGAAGCCTGTAATCTTTGCGACCCCTCCCGACAGGCTCGCAGGACCGCTGGACGATATCAAGATCCATCCAGACGCGCAGGAGCTACTTGACTACGAGGGTGAACTAAGCGTTGTGATCGGAAAAGATGGATTCGACATCGGCGAAGACGAGGCGCTGGATTACGTTCTTGGTTACACCGTAAGCAACGACGTGTCAGCGCGTAACCTCCACGCACTCGACGTCTCCGGATATCAAATGGGATACGCAAAGTCTTTTGACGGATTCGGACCTATTGGGCCCAGCCTAGTATCCCCTAAGCTGATCACCGACCCGCAAAATCTGAAGCTGACAACCACTGTGAACGGAACCGTCCGTCAAAGCAGCGACACGTCTCAGATGATCTGGTCATGCCGCCAGCTCATCTCATTCGCGTCTCGCGGTCGCACGCTGCGTCGAGGAACTGTCATTATGACCGGAACGCCGGAGGGCGTGGGATGGCACACCAATGGCTGCTTGAACGACGGTGATGTGGTTCAGATCGAGATCGAGAATCTGGGTCATATCAAGAACAAGATGGTCTTCCAAAAGAGCGACTAAAGTGCCGTCCGTCACAAGCTTTAGGTCGAGAATCTTCTTCAAGCATCCCAAAGACCATGATATTCTAGCAAATGCATGTAGATGAGATACATATTCAAACAATGAACATCAGGTTTGAGTCTCCCATCGATTTAACATACGCTCTGCAGGCTTATCTGGGAATGCCTGATGTTTGATCGTCGCATGTGTTGCCCACCTCAGGCCATGCAACTGCCACATTTGCTCAGACCAAGTTTTAGAAGGACGCAGTCGCTTTCTCAATCGCAGAGAAAGGCAACAATGATTCATATCTCCATACATCCATGATTGATTCCTTTCCTTTTCCCTTTCCGTTGCTCTCACCAGATGAGTGTGCAGCAATTGGCGCTGGAACTACATGCAGGGGTCACAAGTATCTTTCTTTTCATTATGAATACTGTAGCTAGCAGCGACTGTGACAAGGATTTCACACCCTTGTTGAATTCCACTTCGGCGCCGTGCTTCTCTTTTCGTCGTGTGGTTAATGCAATTGACAAGGTATCGGCCTCCTCGGATTTCTCGGCCGAATTTGCCGGCCACCTGTCGCTGCCCCGCTCCGTGAGTCCGGGCTCGGGTAAGTGAATTAACCCTAAATGCATCTGCTTAAGAACTCCATCTCTAACGGTGACAATGGATTTCGAGGACGAACGGATTTTGGTTGTTAGCTTGACCAATCATAATCGACACCCGATACGCGTCACACACAATGACAACAAGCCAAGCTACGCCTCCAGCAACCGGCTCCATTCTGCTGAAAGGCGGCACCCTACTGTTTCACAATGAGCGAGATGATGTGACGCCTCTCAGGAACACCGATATACTTGTGCAAGGCAAGCGTATTGCCAAGATTGGAAAAGCCATTGCACCCCCGGCTGGAGCTCAGCTCGTCGACTGCAGCGGCAAAATCGTTAGCCCAGGTTTTGTTGACACCCATCACCACCTCTGGCAGACCCAGCTCAAGGGGTGCCATGCAGACCAGTCAATCTTTGACTACATCCCCTCTGGTAAGTTGGATTATGTCTATATAAAAAATTATACAGAAGCCTCGTTGACACAGCTTAGGTTATTGGCAAAGCCATGTTTATTCTCCAAAGGACATGTTCTGGGGCCAGTTGGGTGGCGCACTGGAAGCGATAGATGCTGGAACAACTTTCGTACTCGATCATGCTCATGGCAATCAAACCAATGAACATGGTAGGACTTTTTCGGCGGATAAGCGAAGTTATGAGAAAGAAATTACTTACTGACAAACTCATTATATAGCCACGCAAGCGCTATCAGCCACAATTGCTTCAGGTATTCGCTCCGTTTTCGCCTACTCTCAGGCCCCATACTTCACGAAATGGGACTCTAAAACCTGCGAGCTATCAATGGATATCATGCCGGACTCAAGCATGGCGCATATCTTTGAGCTTGCAAAAGCACAGCCCTATGGAAACGGGAGGGTTCAAATCGGGTTCGGGTTCGACTTTTGGTTCCTTCCCAAAGAGGCTATCGTAGGCATTTTCAACGGACTTCGTCATGCTGGTATCAAGCTTTTCACCTCTCACTACGCGAAGAATCCAACCTTTGGTACGTATACTGGCGTTTGGCGTTACTATCTTCTTATGGATATGTATAATTCTAATTAGAAGCTAGGAGCGAACCCCCTTATCCACACCCTGGAGGCTTATGGTCTCATCAAGTCACCTAGTGACATCTTGCTGTCGCACGCCACAGGCCTTGACGCGAGCGAGAAAGCCAAACTGGCTGAGACCCAAGTTGCCGTGTCGAGCACTCCAGACACGGAAGCTCAGATGGGCTTCGGCTGGCCGCTTGCCTTCTCATCAGGTATCAACTACACGATCGGTGTCGATTGCCACACAAATAACACATCCTCAATCCTGTCTCTCGCTCGATCTGCTTTGCAGATGGCGCGCCAACGTGAGGCAATTGCGGAGACAAATGGTTCGGATGGCGCTCCTCAAAAACTGAATCTCCAGCCGGCGGGCAGCACCCAGGATGCTTTCAACGCAGCGACCATCAGAGGGGCGCGTGCAGTGCTTTTGGGGGACGAGATTGGGTCCCTAAAGGAGGGAAAGTTGGCTGACCTGGTCCTCTTTGATGCTGCCGGGAGTGTGACAATGAGTTGCGTAGCAGACTCGGATCCTTTGACTGCGGTTGTTCGTCACAGCGATATTCGAGATATCGAGGCTGTTCTCATAGACGGAGTCTGGAGGAAGCAAGGAGGCAAAGTCTGCCCAGTGACCGTTGCAGAGACAGGATCCACTTTGCAGTGGGCTGAAATCAGGGATAAGTTGCTTGAGAGCCAGCGGGAGATTCAGCAGCGACAGAAGAATTTGAATATGGAAAAGGCGAAGGAGGCTCTTGTTGCCATGTACCGGATCAACACAAACAACTTGATCGAGAAGCCGAAAAGAACTTAGGACTTTAGCACGTTCTAGTAACTTAGGAGAATGGCACTTGCTACACTTTTTCTTGTACATGCACGTTAACATAGTCTTGTAGCGTACGCCAGGGCTAATCCGTTGAACATCAAACTGCTCTCTCACACCTAGAAGTGACGCACCGTCGAAGTGCCGAACAGGCGGCAGGCAGATCACATCAAGCCGGCCGAAAGAGCGAGGCGGCGCAACGACCCCGAGAGTCACGTAGTGTAGGTAGCCTTCTCCCCGCAGAAAGTCTAATCTTGCTCAAAGTTTCGAGGGATATTAAAGTGAGACTGACAGCCCCTTGACTCTGCTAGTTTGTTTGTCTTTGTGATCCATCGCTGTCGTCTTTTTTACAATTCCAAATTCAAGCGCTTTCCCACAGGCACAAAAATGGCTGTCCCAGAGAACAACACAACCAAGACAGTTGCTTTGGCTGGGGTAAGTCATAAAATCCTCTGATTAACGGCGATCACTTCAATCCCAGAGCAATCAACTGATTCGAAGAGCCTATTCTACTAGGCGAGCGGCAACTTAGGTCTTCATATCCTAGAATCTCTGCTCGATGCAGGGTTCGAAGTGACGGTCTTGATTCGCCGCGAAAGCACCCGGATTGATTATCCCGTCAAAGCTCGAGTGGTTGAAGTCGACTATGATTCGTCTGAGTCACTTCAAAATACTCTTGGGGGCATCGACGCCGTGGTTTCTGCAGTGGGCAAGCAGAATGGATTACAAAGCCAGTTCAAACTCATCGATGCTGCGATCGCCGCTGGGGTAAAGCGATTCATCCCGTCAGAGTTCGGTGCGGATCTTCAGAACCCTAAGATTCGTGCCTTTCCGACCTACCGAACCAAGGTAGAGGTCGAAGATTACCTGGAGAAGAAAGTCCGGGACACTGGATTGACTTACACCTACGTCTATAACAGCGTTTTGTTTGACGAAGGCCTGTCACTCGGGGCATTTGCCAACTTCTCGACCCGGACAGTAAACATCTTCGATGGCGGGGACACGACCTTTTCTGCAACGAGGATTAAGACCGTCTCACAGGCTGTTGCTGCCATCCTCAGGAACCTTGACGCAACTAAGAACAAGGCCGTACGCATCCGAGACCTCGCGATGACCCCAAAGCAGCTGCTAGAAACTCTCAAAGCGTTGGATCAAGATCACGCTTGGAAGGCGGTTGCAGTCGACACCGATTCGCTTGTCAAGAACGCCGAACAGGAGCTAGCAACGGGCAAGTTCAGCCCAAAGGCGTTCGCAGCATTTGCAATGAGAGCGACCTTTGCTCCAGAATATGCACAGGATTATAGTCGCGACAACGAGCTCTTGGGTATAACTCACATGACGAAGGCAGATATCCAAGGGGTTTTGGCTGCGAGACTGTGCTGATCTCACCTCTCTTGGCTCATGAAAAGTCTAGATTCTTCAGTTGGAATTGACATCTTGAGACGCGAGATTTCGGTGACCGCGAAGAGGCTCGCTTGATACTCTAAGTATGACTAAAATACAATTGACCGTCTGCGTTGGTGAAATCGCACATATCGTCCATCTCCATGAGGGGCCCTATCATCTCGTCTGCATTATACATCGCTGTGTCAAATTGTCGCTCAGCGCTACGGGGCATAGAAACTACACCCGACTGAGCATTGTCTCTTTGAACAAGATTTGCGCTGGCGTGTGGTCTTGCAATGCCCTTAGACGAGAACCGACCTCCCAATATCGGACGTTTCGCAGCAGAGGATGCCGACGATGAGCGCCGATCTGATAAAAACGACTTCCGGCGACCCAACTCCTTCTTTCTCCGTCTTCTCGCCTTGTCAATACTTCTCATTACTGAGCGCCACTGGTGCACCCGACTATGCCTCGTCGATGAATCCCAACGAAGAACAGCACTTTGCTCCACAACTCGCCATGCCTTGTCGGCATCCCTACCCAAAGGCTGGTTGCACAGCTCTGAAAGAACAACCGCAAAAGCGTGCCACTCATTGTAGCACTTTGTAAGCCATGACCACTGCGCTACTTGCGGGTCAGTCCGGAGACGGTATGAATGCGCCATACACTCGATGGCGTTCTGGAAAGCGCGCCTCTTTTGCTCGTCGGTGAGGGAAACAACAGATGATAATGGGTTGAGGACCATAAGGCGTAGATTTGCGACAATAGTGCCGACAAAGGAGGTTGTAAGCTTGAGAAAATGCTACGTCAGAATTTGAGTGTCATGTCTGAAGTCTGGATGCTTTAGTTATGTGCAACTTACACAGTGTAAAGAGCCATGAGATGGTTGACCCTCGGATAACTTGCTGGCGATGTTTTCTTGCTGTCTCTCAACCCAGGCCTCCTTGTCGACTATCGTCATTGAGACAAAGTTCAGTCCGGATGTTGAGTCGATTCTCCGAGTGTCAATTATCGTCCGCCAGATATCTGATGCCCAGCAACGGGCAGCAGTGAAGGACATGGTCGTGATTCCCTTAGACTCGGAGGGGTACTCTGTCATACCCGGGTATAGGTCCCCATCATTCACGTTGATTGGGGGCCTTGAATCGAAGCTACTCAACTCTAGACTATTGGCAGATGTGGTCAGTCTCGATGCAAGCGTTTGATGAGTAAGAAAAACTCACAGGCCAGATGAACATGAGTAGTCTTCGGATGCTGGCGTATCTAGAATGCAGATATTCCACCACAATCGTCGACGCATTTCAGCTTCGAAGGGGGGGAGATTGAACGTGCTCCCATCTCGATGCATGCCTAGGGATTGAGCAAGCCGCACAGCTAGTCCTGTCATGCTCCATGAATACGTAGGGTCTCTGCAACGTAACGTAACGAGGTAAACCACAAAGGCTTGCAGTGTGAGCATATCATCCGTTACCATCAACCTCGCACGAGCAAACGCAGCGTCAGCACCTCGCCGAAATTTCCCCAACAAATCACATTGAGCTGATCCGAAACGCGCAGCGCATTCATCATCGGACAGACTGTTTACTGCACCGACATAGATGACAAACAAGAGGGCTTCCAAGGGGGCCGCAAGATTTTGTGGGTTGTGCATTGCTTCGAGGACGGCCGGTTCAATCGAGGGTATGTGCAGGACGGTAGCGACAGGGTGTACGTTGGTGTTGTATAGCTGCCATGCTTCTAGTCTCTGATTGCGAGGGGGATGTAGAGAGTAAGTGTCGGCTTCTTGGGTGCCACTAGTAGATAGCAAGGAATACTGCAAAAGTTCTGACCGAGACGATGATGTCGGCTCTTCAAACTCGGAATCATCCTCGCTGATCATGCCATCGTCCAAGTCATTCTATTGATAAATGGTCAGCATATCCTTAGAGAATCACTCACTGTCTTCTCTAGATTGACGTACCTCGGTATGCAAAGCTTCCCAAAATGTTCCACTGACGTATCTTTCACGACCGTCATCCTTGACGAGCTTCCCCGTCGAGGTCCCGTACGGCGACCAAGAGTTGACCGAATCACCTTGAGCACTGTCACAGTCAATGTTGGGAATCTCGATATTCGATGCGTCACCGACTGTGGAATCAAGAATCCCCGTCGGAGAGTTCGGGCCGAGAGAGATCACAGCCTGTTCCACCTGCAAAGTGGTGAAATTGACCGCGACGCTCTCTTTCCCTATATCTCTACAGGCGCTTGTCGACGAGCCGATTGAATTTGGGGGTGTTGGTGGTGAAGGTGAGGTAGAATCATTATTGACTTCTGCGAATTGCGTTTGAGGGAGTGTTGATATAGAATCTGGACGGGAGCTTGACCCTACGATGGGGGCAGAGGATCCTGGAATATTGCCTTGTTGCATACATTCTGCCAAGGTCTTGAACATCGGCTCCAGACGGTGAAGCTGCTCCCACAGCTGATTGTCAGTGAGAAACTGCCGCGCAGCCGAGCTTCCTTCAGGCGGATAGACACAGTCTGTTCCAGACTTCTCGCAGTGATGACACGGTTGTTTCTTGTCGCAACCGACCTTCCGGCGACGGCATGCTGTGCAAACGCGGCGTGGCAGGGGCTGGTTTCGAGATGTCTTGCTTTGTTGGTTGGATTGAAGAGGCTGCTGCTGCTGTTGTTGCTGTCCTTGCTGGTGACGGTCTTCTGTATTGGAGGGATTCCATGCAGCGACAATGGAGTCCGCAATTGCTTGATTGCCGGGCGAGGCTTGCGATCGAGCCTTCGCCGGGGTTTCAAGCACTCCAGGCCCCATAATCTTACACAAGCGGACTCTACGGTCTGAACAACCGAGAGGCCGAAATGATAAGCCGAGTTTTTGCTTCGTCCTTGGATCTATAAGGACAATACGCCTAATGTGAACGTCGCTTGCTCATGAGTTGTTTATATCGTGAAGATGAGTTGCCTCATGTGTACCGGCGTTGCATCACGCGTGATTGCGGACAGAATGAGGATTCCGAAGGAAAGACTTGCTTTGCAAAACAAGCAGAAGATAACGAACGCTGGAGTGATAAATTACATGGAGATAAGGTGATGGAAAAGGGAGGGATCACGAGGGGGATTCATCACCACCAAGCCATGTTGGGACGAGGCGCACGGAGGGAACATGGTGTAGGCCGAGAGATAAGGCCTAGACAGGGGGGGCGAAGTGCGGGGAGAAGCACCTACACACGAATCACGATGGACACAATTACCAACCCAAGACGTGTTTGTAAGAGCGCAGCAGCTGAAGCGGCACTGGGTTACCTTTTGTCTACCTTTCTTGTTCACGGCACATGGGAGCGTGGCACAGATCAACGCCATGGCGGACTAGGGCTCTTACATGATAAAGTGTTTGGCGGGGAACCCGTCCGGCAGTCCACTCCTTCGCACTACGTTGGCCCCTGATGATAGCGTTGTGGGGTTGTAGCCGTGTTTGGGAATGTGGATATGATTAGCAGAGAAGTAAACCGCAGTAGTAGCTCGGCCGACCCCTCCGGTCCAGCTCTCTGTTCCAGCCCCAGTCGGCGTTTCGGAGGGCGAAGTATTCCAGTGCGAACGCGAACTTGAACCAACGCCAGCATATTCAGTATAAGTTGAGGTGGTCCCCAAATCGGACAATGGATATTGCTACATGTTAAGCTAGAGAGATATTCACACGGGCGACAACATGGCAGCAATGGAGACATCATCAAGCCCGCAGATAGGAAACTCGGAGTGGCTCATACACGTCCCAGACTTCCCGGAGGCCAAAGACCGAAGGGCTGCAGTGTTCCCGTATGTCTCAGCCCAGACTCATAGAACAGGTTATGAATTGACATCCCGGCGCGAAACAGACAACACATTGAGCGGATGAAAACAGATCCTCAAGGCTTTTGGGTGTTTGGAGGTGGGATATCCACTGCCCCGTGGGCCGTCGTTCATCAATGCCGTCCAAATCCATGTTTAGCTAACATTTGGTCAACGCAGGAGCCACTTTGGCGGAGCCCGTGGGCCCCGGCCAAACCCCGCACATCACGGGCAGTGCCATGCTTGTCTTTGCGCCCACACGGGAGCGGGTTTTAGCGCGACTCATGGATGATCCGTTGGTCAAGGAGAAGATCTGGGATATTGAGAAGGCTCAGATTCATCCATTCTTGCGTCCGAAAAGAACTCCCCTCTGAGAAGTCTGATCATTATCGAATGAGAATGTTCAGGCTGGTTGGTTCAAGAGGGAGATATTGCGCGTGGTTCACCTTACGCAGAGGGAGTCAAGTTGGCAATGAATTATTCAATCATCATAACAAATGGATTGCGAAGAAATTAAGACCAAATTCTTAGACCTAGAGGCTTAGAAACTCGTAGTCCCTTAAAATCGACCATTGCATACGTTGAACCCTGTTTACCCATTTTTTTCCCTCATGTCTAGTACATGTACTCTCTCTTTCAAGTAATGTTAACGCCCCGCAAGATGATCAACCCAAACTTGTCGCCAGAATTCCCCGAGAAGCTTTGCACTCTTCGAATCTCCCGCTGGAAGCAACTGGCTCACATAGACAGCCCCAAGCCCACTTTCTCGGTTGACAAACCACCCAATATTAGGCATCCCGTTCCATGTCAGACATTTTGCGGGGAGGTTAGGCGTATCCTCTTTGATTACCATACCACCCAGTCCGAATGCTACTCCGGGGCTTCCCGTGTCGTCCCCCGTCAGTTGTTTATGCAAAGCCTATCGGTCCTTCGTGTCAGAGTTTGGGGCGCTAAGCTTGGCTGCTGCGCCATGGAGTGGGGAGCTAGGCATACCTCTTGTTTGATCAACCCTTCGTATTGACTGGTACCTTGATGAAACTGAGGAGTGAACATTTCTGTCACCGACTCGGCCTTCAGAAGCACTGGGTTGTCCTTGAGTAGGTCCGTCAAGACTTTGACAAAGTCTGACGTAGTAGTGATGAGCCCCATCCCACCGGAGCTTTCCTGTGCATCTTCCGGGTAAGGTGAAGGGATGGGGGCCAGCTTTCCCTCTTCGGTTCGTAGAAACATTTGAGCTAGTAGTTTCCGCATATCCGGTCTCTCTGTTATGTGCAGTGTCGTGTTCGTGAGACCAAGAGGTCTAAACACATGCTCCTCCATGTAAGTCGCCAGCTTCATATTGCTCAACCTCTCCACGAGCACTCCAGCCCAGTCCAAACTAGCACCATAGACCCAGCTAGTTCCAGGCTCAAACAGAACCGGGAGTGAGAAAGCTTCGATGGTTCTCCCACTCATCACTAAGGGCTGTTCACCTCTTGATTGTCGCCATGCTACGAGCAGTGGATGCATGGCGTCATACGATATGCCGCTGGTGTGGGTCAGCAAGTGCCGAACCGTTATTTTGTTCTTGGCTCTTTCGAGCCTGAAGGATGTACTGGAGTCTGGCAATATGATCTCGGGGTCCTTAAGCTCGGGCATTATAGTTTCAACCTCGTCATCGAGACCTATCATTTTCTTCTCGACGCATTGCAGTACGGAGATTGTTGTAATCAGCTTCGTGCAAGAAAATCCGCGAAAAGCATCATCAAGAGTGATTTGTTCTTTGATTTCTGCGCTTTTGGTTCCATGGCATTGGCTGTACAGAATCTCTGTATCGTCTATTAATGAGAAATCCCTCGGTTTTCCTTAGTGGCGGGGTCTACTCGCCATCTTTGTTGAACGCAGCCAGGGCAATACCGGGAAGGCTCGGTGAGCCTCCTTTGGTTAAAGATACTAGGCTTTCCTCGCAGCTGAGTTTCATCTTGAAAGGATCAATAGTTTGCACTGCCGAGAAAAGAGTTGATTGTGTATAGAGGTTCAATCGCAGTAGGCTGGTGGTCTGGAGGACTGCTGGGTCGATCATTCGTCGAACCTACTCTAGAAGACTACTTTTGCATGAGTTTATCACTGATTTCGATGGTCCTTTATCTGTTCTATTTGCATCTCTGAGAGTCTAAATGTGGTTTTCTGACTTCAAGTGGGGCTGGAAGTCAATAGCTTTGCCCGGCGACTTCGGCCGACAGCCTCAGCTACCACTTCGATCCGACTTCTCTGAGCGCTGCCTACCTAAGTAAGGTGCCCAATGACAGACCTTGAATCGTTTTCGGCCGGGTCTCCGGGTTCTGGTTTTCTCTAAGCCAAGTTGGCATCTACTTCTCATCTTCAGTCCGAAGCCCTTCTTTCCTGTTGACGTACGAATGCCTACCACCTTCGCCCGACAACATGTCAGACAACATCGAAACGTCTTCAAATCAACCGTCGACTACCGATGGACCGTCTACAACTGCTTCCGCTGCTCCTCCCAAACAACCAAGTAATGCAGGGAGAAAACGGCGCTCGTGTCTTTTGTGTAGCAAACGGAAAGTCAAGTGTGACAAGCAGAAACCATGTCGGAATTGTGTCAAGTACGGGGGTGAATGCGTATTCCCTGCCGCTAAAACAAGCCAGACACAGATGGTTATGACACCTGAGCTAGTGGAAATGCTTCAAAGACTAGAGAAAGTTGTCCAAACTTTGGAGCCGAAAGATGGAGACAGGCAGGATCCCGTAGATCCTCAGCACCCCCACAAACACAACGATGGAGGTGATCGAGAACGGCCCCAGTCTCCGATTCCTTCGCCTATGGTTGAGGACATCGACGCTACGAACTTGGGGTCTTTCAGTCCAACGATGGGCCCGGGAGTCCAAGCAGGTTGTTCAAACCCACCCAGTGCCGAGTTGCAAAGTGTAACATCAAGCCATGGTGGCAGTGATGGCAGGATCGTTCGCGATGCTGGGAGGGACACCTATGTAAGACGATGGTTTTGGGAGGATTGTAAAAGTGAAGTCAGATAATGCACAACATCAAACCGCATCCTCGGCTAATGATAAGTAGATCAGCAGCGGCTCTGCGACAGACGAAGATCGCTCAGACGACGATGACTTCGAAGATACCGCTTCTAACCCTTTCTCCAATTGGTGCTCGAAGAAACCGGAAAGTTTGAGTTCCGAAAACGAAATTACAAGCTCAAAGAGAAGGATTCTTTCTATACTTGGCGATCAAAAACTGCACTTGTGGGGCATTTACAAAGAAAGAGTTGAGCCGCTGACCAAGTTGCTTCATTTCCCGTCGCTGGAGCAGACAGTGACCGGGCATCGCTTGGTGGACTTCGAAGACGGCACCCGTTGTATCATGCTATCAATCTACTATGGTGCGGTAACAAGCCTAGGCGAAGAAGAGTGCGGCCAGCTATTTCAGAGCGGACAAGCCCGGGTCCTGTCCGTCTTGCGGGACGAGGTAGAAGCAATGCTTTCGAAGGCCATGCTGATTCATACGGGGGATATACAACCATTGCAGGCACTAGTCTTGTACCTCATTTTCCTGCGCCATCATGAACCTCGGCTCTCCTGGAACCTTTCAGGGTTGGCTGTTAGACTCGCTCAGAATTTCGGCATTCACAGGGAAGGCAGTCTTTTCGGACTCTCAACATTCGACATCGAAATGCGACGCCGCCTTTGGTGGCAGATTGCAGTTCTGGACGCCCCATCGGCCGAGGACTATTCGGGTGAATACAATTTGTAATACTTAAAACTGTCGCAGATGCCCAGTCGAGTAATTCGCTGACTATTTTCACAGACTCGAAATGAGTAGCTTCGATAGCCAGCCACCGCGCAATCTTAATGACACACAGCTGTATCCGGCAATGCTCGAGTACCCACCCGAAACTAGAGGTATCACGGAGATGACATTTACACTAGCCCGATGCCAAATCACGAGCATGTACCGTTGCATGGCGGACTCGAGAAAGCCCTGTGGAAACACGAGAAAGAGCTATGCCGAAATGTCACAGCAAGAGCGCAACGATTGGATCGACTCCTGCGAGCAAGAGTTTTCTCAAAAGTTCTTTCGAAATTACTCGGCAACAAATGCACTGCATTGGGTGAGTTTTCGGCTGTTCACGTCTGCCACCCCTTAGCTAAAGTATGAGCGTGAAGCTGAAGCACTTGGTGTTGACCAAACCCATCACAGGTAACAATGGTCCTGACGAGGATGCTATTCCACAAAGTTAGGCTGCATGGCATCAACCCACATATGGATTCGAAAGATATAACAGAGCCAACCCGCAAGCGATTGTTCGCCGTCGCTGTCGAAGTCATAGAACTCAACTGCAAACTTCGGACTGACCCCCGAACGCGTCCTTGGCTTTGGCTTTTCAGCTCCTACACTCAGTGGCATGCATTCTCTCTGGTCCTTCACTGGCTTCGAACGGATCCTCTTTGCAAGGGCTCCCGGCGAGCATGGCAGGCAATTGAAAAAGCCATCGTGCTGAGGTGGGAGCATCCTCCCTCATTGTTGAGTGGTCAAAAGCCGCAACAATGGCGGTCTGTTCTCAGACAGCTAGGAAAGGCAAGATATGCTCGACAAGAGGCCTTGGATAGAAGAGGAAGGAGGGGCTCGCGTACGGCTTCGGAAAAGACTGGGCAAGCCTCGGTATTTTCACTGGCATCGGCAACGTCTCATGCTCCATCCTCTTCACGCAGTTCGTTTCCGAAGCCTTCCCATTCCTATAATTCCTTGGAGTCTAGTAGCTCCCGGCCTCAACAACTAGTTCAGGCTCCGGAGGTGGCCCGAACAAATGCTCCAGGTCCTTTAACACCTCCCATCACCACTACGGACGTCGCCCTGCAACGGGATCTGACAACACCAGAACAAGGAAATTCACAGAATATACACAGCATCAGCAGCTATCAGTTCGACGAGATTGCTGGTGTGTTGCCGCACCCGGACCTTATGATGATCGATGAAACAACGTTCTCAGCCGAAGAGTTTCAGGATCTTCAGGACTTTTCTTTTCTTGAAAACTATTCTCTGGATTGATTAGAGCTTAGAATGAATTTATCCGCTTGAATGTGGCCTACGTCTCACGTTGCCCATCTTGATGTGATAACTTAATGAACTGTCGTAAGAAAACGGAACCGTGATTACCGGCCAGCAATTACGCCTTACCACATGAACAATATCACATACTAGGCACTTATGATGCGCGTACTGCGAATTGTCGATTGCTTCATTGGAATAACTTGATTATCGCAAGATAAGTGTGCTGCCTCTAACTCAAATAGTTCTCATGCTCTCGAATGCACAACATTTATCCAACTGAAACCCCATTCGGATGATCCGAACCATTCTCTAACACATTCACCTTCTTGTGAATCGCACTGTTTCCCTCCAGTCCTGCGTGCGTAGCCTCATCCATCCCCGGGATAATCATCTCAAATGTTTCTCGCACTACCGTATACTGAAAGTAGCCGCAGCGAGCAATGGGCTGTGTCTTGCTGACGTCGAGCTTGCCATCGGTCAAGACATCATCTCGGATATGCACTCCGATGACTCTCCCGATGACGACATCGACAGTTCCCATGGGAGGGTTGGCGGGTAGTCTGAGAGTGGTATGGTATACACATTCAAATTTGACCGGACTATCCTTGACCATGGGCACAGGATCTCCTGGCAGCGCGCGGCTGTATTCCTTCTGCAAACCTGCGCGGTCGAACTCGTCCACTCCGTAGGCGACCTGCTCAGCCGAGATGTTTACAGCTTCACGCAGGGGCCAAGTAGCTAGGTTCCAGCAGAACTTGCCGGTCAGCTCCGCGTTGAGAACAGTATCCTTTCTTTGCTGGTCCGGTTTTTGGTTGGCCGAGAACATAACATAGGGTGGGTCGAATGTGAGGTTATTGAACTGGGAATAGGGCGCCAGATTGTGCGTCTTCGGATCCGTTGCTGAGATTGTCGATATCCAGCCAATTGGCCGAGGAACAACGCATGCCTTGAACGGATCATGGGGAAGGTTGTGAGGTATTCCTCCCGGCTGACTGCCCGGCTCAAAGTACATGATGATGGAACTCGGGAAGAAAACTTATGTTCTTTAGTTGAGATGTGTTTGAATCTAGACGAAAAAACGACTTCTTGAACTGTGAGGTCGAGTAGCTCACGTCAGAGAGCCGAGAATATCGATCGATGGCTCTGCAGGCTCTGACGTCTATATTTACGTTCAGAAAAGGAAACCCTCGCAACGTACGGCAATTAGAAGGCTTTGACACAAAATTCTCAGCAATTGTGTTGCTGCCCAGGTAAGGATGTGAGGGGTCAGCGTCGGGCCCATGTCCACCGAGCCGGACCAGAGCGGACATGAGCCAGACGAGTGGAAAACACGGCCGATGAGATTAAACTTTGCATCCGCAAATACGGAGCTCGGGTTTTCCCCCGTTGTCAAGCAAACCAAACCACGCATTTGACATTCATGCGTTATGTGCAAGCTTTTGCAATTAAAAATGAAATGGAGTTACCTTGGTGATACGAAGAATGCATATAACGTCACGTCATCTCCAATTCTTCTGCTGAACTTTCAACGTGCGACCAAATGTGTAAGAAAACTAACTGTTGAGGCACACAAATACCGTACAACCTTTTCTCAATTCCGAGGCTTCTTCCAATCTCTTTCACCATGGATGTAGATGATGATGTCGAGCTCGGTCCCGGCCGCGATATTCCAACTGACGGAATTCCAGTCAACTTCGTCCCTGCCAAAGCCGGGGACGTCATCAAGTTAGGACTTATCACTTGCCGCGTCTTGGAAGATGGATCCCGCACAGGTGAGCTACCGCTGGATGATATCTGCAGTTATATCCGCAAAAAGGGTGTAGATTTGGTTTCATAAAGAGAGAGCTAAACGTATCTGTGCTTGCAGACAATCGTATCGGGGCCGCCGAATTCACCCTCCCTCCCGGCTTGAAAGGGCCTCCAGCCCATTGGCACGAGATGCATGACGAGACCTTTTTGACGACCAAAGGCACCATTCGATACCACATCCCAAAGCCCGATGGCACCGAGGACACCATCGACGCGAAAGAGGGCGACTATGTCACGGTCCCTGTTCGGGCACCGCATACGTTCAGCAACCCGACTGACCAGGAGGCCAAGTTTTTCAACACTTACACTCCGGCCTATTACATCAACTACTTCAAGCTGTTGGGAACATACGTGCAAGAGGGCAAGCCGATCTCGCCGAAGGAGCATTTGGATGCGATGTCGAACTACGCAACTCTTCCTGTGCCGAAGAAATACTCCCAGAAGAAGTAACAGATTGAGGGAATAGCATTTGTGATGCTGTATACACATTTTAGGAATCCTGATTTGTGTACTTAGTAAACCCCGCAGGCTCTGATCACACAACAATCATGGTAATTGAAAACATCACTGCCATGATAGAACCATATGTTCCTGGTTTGCCACGTTCCACACAGATCTGTTGACTTGCGAGTGACTAAAATGCCTACATTTCACACTGAGACCCTTCCTTTTTCCACAGTGTTGGCCGTCATGTTCCACCTTAAAATCCCGGTGAAGAGGGGTTGGGCGGGGTGGTCGTAACATTTCGGCCGGCGCACAGTATGACGCCGGGACTGTTTTCCGGACCCCTCATAGTCCATGTATTTACCGAGCTCCCATCACACCCCGGGGGTGTCGTCATGTGTTCGAAGCTGCCAAGCTGGGTCTGGGATAGGTCGAGATTGACGAGACGCAGCAAGCCATTGGGGCTTGGGCTATCTAACGATAAGGAAATGGCATCTTTGGATGCGTCTTCACACTTATAATGATGTTCTCAGCTCACGTCTGATTCTAACGTGACGATAGCTTGATACTTGTTGTAAATCTTATCATATACTGGAGTGAAATTGGAAAATCGAAGCTCGCCACTACAAGGCCCCTACATATCTCATCACCATCTACTCTACCCACTCTTTCTATGCGAATCTCACAAACTTGGTAGACACCATGTTTATTGTCGCCTTACCAGCCATTTTCGTCGTGGTCACTCTGACCTTCGGTGTATCTTACGTACTCGTAGACTACATCCGTATCTTGCGGCTCAGACAACGAATGGCACCTGGGCCATTCCCGCTACCGCTTTTTGGCAACATCTTCCACATACCAAGCAGCAGACAGTGGAAGAAGTTTGAAGAATGGTCGCTGAGGTATCAATCTCCCATCATTACAATCTGGGACGGACACACCCCAGTTGTCATTTGCAACGATGCTTGGTCCATGTCTGACCTCTGCGACAAACGGGCAAACATCTTCTCATCTAGACCTGTAAAGACACTCACCGGAAAGATCTTTGGTCTCAACAAATTCAATCAAGCGGGACTTGCATATGGTGAGCAGTGGCGTGTACACCGTCGCTTGACTGTAAGTCGTATCCCTCTTTAGAGTGGTTCTAACAAAGCCTTCCTTCCGCTCGTGATTTTAGCTGCTGACATGGACAAATCGTGCCCTGTAGCACTCTGCTGCCAACGCCCAGGTGGTCCAGGCATATCGTACTTCTCAAGCCAACGAAGCGAAGATATTGATTGAAGACTGTCTGACGAAACCTGATCGATTCGTTGACAGTGCCTTACGCTTTACCGTATCGATTGTATCCATTATTGCCTGGGGCAGACGCATCGGGACCGAATCAGACACAGTCTTGAAGGTAGCTCAAGCATATGTCGGTAGCGCCAACCTCGGCTTCCCAGGAAAGACATACACCGAGGCCATACCTGCTCTTGCTGATATGCCGGCATGGCTGAACCCGCTGCCAAACCAACTCAGGAAGCTAGCCCAAACGTCGAACAAGTACTTTTACGCACTTTCCGATGAGGGATCTAACGCGGTACAAGACAACTTCGCAAAGAGACTACTGAAAGAGAAGGAGGAACATGGCCTCAGCAAAGTCGAAATTTCCAACCTCACAGGCAACTTTATCGGCGCCGGGGTTGACACTACCACTAGCACCATGCTGACTTTTGTTCTGGCTATGTGTTTGAATCAAGACGTTCAAAGCAAGGCGCACGAGGAAATCGATCGTATCGTCGGCCGTGATCGTTATCCCGACTGGTCCGACGAAGACAGTCTCCCGTATTTGGCGGCAGTCATCAATGAAACGCTCAGATGGCGGCCTGCATTTGCTCTTGGCGGGCCTCCCCATGCACCCACCGAAGATGATATCTACAACGGCTTCTTCATTCCAAGGGGAACATCGATCATCGGAAATCTCTACGCCATGCACCGAAACCCGCGGGAATTCCCCCAACCGCATCGATTCTGGCCGGAACGATTTATGGAAGGTTTTGATGGACCGGCATATCCTAACAAACGTGGGCACAATACCTTTGGATGGGGACGTCGAGTCTGTAGCGGTGAAGCATTGGCCCAACAAAGCTTGTACTTCACTATCGTCTCTCTTCTCTGGGCTTTCGAGATCCGTCCGGGTGTAGACGAAAAGGTAGGCTATCGCCAAGCTGAGTTTTGTCTTCATCAGGAGCTAATGACTCTTAATCTAGGGCAACGAGGTCGTTTTGGATCCAGATGCGTACACTGTGTCTCAGGTCAACCGTCCACTGCCTTTCAAAGTTCGCTTTCTGCCTCGATCCGAGACGATTGCAACTTTGGTGAGAACTGGTGCGCAAAAGGCGCGCACGCAACTGCGAGCGTATGACGCAGTTACCAACGTCACGTTTGAGAGTGCGCAGTCTGTCTCCCTTGACATGCCCATCGCGCAGGCAGAGAAGGGTTCAATTGTTTAGTCCCGACGCCGGCATCGTTCAGTAGAATGACGAATGATCCAAGACTGAGCTAACTTGATGAAGTATACACAGGTGTCCAGTGCAGACGCCTTTGAGATGAGACAAGTGCAGACGTTTTGGGTTCAATTGCATTTGGATAGGGTCATATCTCCCATTGTAGTGACTTTAGCAAGTATTTTATCTACTTCCGTCAGGTCTGCTGACGGACACTTCTCATCCCGCGCCTTGTCTACAACTAGGGCTCGAACCTGAGAACGTACAGCCAGAATTTTTGAACTTTGACAACTTGCAACCCAAATAGGTACGGTCATTCATATCACACCATTGACAACCACTTCCGTGACTTCGAGTGAGCGACGCGAAGACACATCAGACGAGTAGACAGAAGATAGTATCCACCAAGTATTAGAATACTCAGACAGATACAAAATGAAATTAGAACCCAGATGTATGGCGAAATCATAGCTTCCTTCTCTTTGGGAAACCAGTTAAAGAAGTCCGTGGAGAAAACTGTCTGGTTTAGGAGTTATCACGTTAGAATACTTTGCCGCGATGACCAGATTTCCCATTTCCGGACCACAAGACATGTCAAGAAAGATACCAAACAGGCAGTGGCAAGGATCTGACTTACTGCAACAAACATACTGGGTAAAAATACCATGGAGAAAATAGAAATATTCTGCATTCGCTTTCCATCTCGTTTGGATTCCAGGGCAATTTGCATGTTGGTCCTTGCATGAGACTGTACACGAGTTAGTGGGATATTGTGGCGAGAGTGTGTGTGATTAAGCTGAGTATAAACAAACTCACGAGCTGAGTCGCCATCGACATCCCGTCTAACCTCATAGTACAGTCTCTTATAGTGTCCTCATACTCGTTTATTATCGATCTCAGTCGGTTTCTGATCATAGAATTCACTTTTGCTTGTTTCCGCTTTAGATCTGCTTTGGTATCGGCACAAGCAAATGCCGAACGTCCATCCGTGACGTTGGATGTTGAGTAACTCTCGGCCATTCCTTCGATATGAAGTAGCATCTCTTCCACCTGTGTCTTCCAGTTGAATAGACCATTTCGGAGCTCCGTGGTGTCAAGCCAAAGGTCAATGATTGGCTGGGTAGCAGCCTGGTCACTTTCGCTTTCCTCCTCGGAACCCAAGTAGTATGTAGCTTTTTCCAGCTCGCCTTGTGTATCCTCAACGAGCCGCTTTAGCTGTCTCTCTCTCTCTAGCTCAGTGAAGATTCCCGGAAGTAGGAATGGGTGTGACAAGGCGCTTGATGAGCAATAGAGTCTGCCAATGATCTCATCCTCTATTTCAGCAGTGGTGCCGAAGACGATAGCGTTCGTCGAACCTGTCTTTGATAGGTGTGTTACCGAAAGAGCTAAGTCGCCATCCCATGCCATGGAGGTCCTGCTGTGATACACTTCGAGGGCTTAGAATATGACGGTGTGTTGTCTACTAAGACTAGTAGACTTTGGTGTGAACCCACCGATAGCTGGCTCTTCAAGCTCACCCATAGCCACATCTCCCGAACAAAAGCTTGCCACATCTCCACGGCTGATGGTCCGAGAGATTCCACTATGAATCATCAGCTTGCTGCAGATATATCTGAAGGTCTCGTGGGAAAAAGAAAGAGAGCGGATGGTTTTGGGTTGGTAAGCTGACGGGCTAGTCTTGGCTCGTCTTGCAAATCTGCAACAGATAGTGTCAGCCTTTCGCAATGCCACTCTCTTCAAATCCCAGTCCAATTATACTCATTGACGAAGAGCTTACACGACAGTGACCTTGGGCTTGTAGCTCTGTTCAAGGTCTCTGTGGTTCTTTTCACCGACTTTTATTAGTCTGAGAGCAACCAGCTAGGGGTTGAGGCTGACAAACGGCCACAAACCTCATGAAACCATTCCTTCCAACCTTCATCATTCACCTTCCACTGTTTGGGTTCCTACAATAATGTGAGCTTTTTGTTGAGTATTGATCAATGAATTACCTCACCCCATCTTCGTCGTCTAATTGGACAACTTTGACAGATCTTGGCTCATATTCAAAGACGTTGGCGAGATCGGTCTCACTATTACTCAGCAATGACCCATCAAGAAGCCAGTCCATGCTTCAATTAAAAAGGTAGGTGGGTAGTTGTGGTGGTAGATTATACATGTGGCGAGCTTCCGTTCCATGTAATGAATAATGGACAAGCACTGGATCATCCTGAGGGTGGTATTAGCTGCATTCTTTCTTCAGACTGGCAACAACACGGTACTTTAATCCGGCATCCTCTTGTGTCAACAGCCCTAATGACATTGGAGAACTGCCTCGACCCTTTGCCAACATCCGAATTTCTCCGCATTCCTACAATGAAAGCTTCAACATAAACGAGCCTATGTGAAGAATGAAACGAGGCATCTCGAAGCAGCCCAACCCCTCCAGAGGAGCCCGAACTCCGCCCAAGGCGCTCTTCGGTATGCAAAGGAGGGGTCGAGATTCCGAAGTATCCACTCTTCCTGCAGGTCAAAAGCTCCGTCACCAATCTTCTCATGATAGAAAGCAGCTAATCAGTATAACGCAGGAAGTAATGCTACCCTGGCGTGCCAAGATAGATGCTCCGCCTGGTTGGAAATACTGCAAATCAAGAGGTAGGCTTCGCTGCGGGCTGACAGCAGTATGCGATGATGCCAACGACTTCAAGATGTCTCCAATGATCGTTTCACGTCGCCCTCCAAACCAGTACTTGTCGGCATATCGATGGCGAGATGTAACACGTCTGTGCCTAACACTGCCTTTGCCTAGAGTCTCGCTCGCCTCATTCGGGCAGCCTGACGAGCGTGGTTCCCCGCCGACTGGCTAACACGAGGCATAATCTGATTCGTTATGAACTCTGCCCCGGAAGAGGACTCCGACAGGTAGGCCATACAAAACTGTCAGTATGCAGCCCGTCATGCGTTTCGCTGATCAACTCAACCTTTTGGAGTTGTTCACCAAGCAATCATGACGAAGGAATTTGTTAGTGGTCGATATTGCGATGAGACAATGCTCCATCAGAAGCTCAGACAGTTGTTCCCGAACGCTTCAGGAGATGATATTGGAGTTCGAGTAAGACAATTAAAATTGTGCTCTCCTTCATTGTGCTTTTCGTGTGCTAAAATCGAATCACCCAGTTCTCACGAGGGAAATGGAACCTTGACCTGCCGCGGTCCCTCACACCAGTAAGCAACGAGCAGAACTATGTATTCGAGTTCCAACATGGCTGATTTTTTTGGCACTTGAAGGAAGAGCGAAATCTCTTCAGATCTTCTTCTGGACCTGGCCACTATGCGAGCATCAGGCAGGTCTCACGTGAGACGAGAAGGGGATGAGTGACAAAGAAAACTTTTCCAGGTATATTTTGAGCAGGACATGTCTTTTTACTCGTGTGGCGTTCTTGTTCTTGCATTTCAGACCTATCTATGGGTCGATGGCTTCCGTAGTCGCTCAATATACTCTCTCTGTTGGAGGTTGTAGAAGTTGATCCCCGTGTCCCACCCTCGCCCTCGGCGGCTCTTCTGTGCGGCCTTGATGAGTGCGAAGCCTCGGATGGCTTTTTCTGATGGTATCCAGCGCATTTTCGTTGAGCCTGATCTTGACAGCAGGTGACTCTTCACTGGATGGTGGTAGAGGCCAAGGCACAGGCTCGATACAGTAAGCTTTGCTTTCCACACATCGCCTTTGAATACGTCGCAATTCTTCATATACTTCCTTGCAAGTTGCTCGTTTCCTAACCGCTGACTCGACGATCAACATTCTGTTCTGAACGAACTTTAGAAGATCATGGGTGTACTGAGTACAATCTCGATGATTATGAAGCCCGTCAAACCACTACGATTCGTCAGTCTGGGTTTCTGTCTGGTAACGGCTGTAGAACGATACATACTCGGGTCACATTTGGTTTTACCATGGCACCCATACTTCTCAAGGAGGTGTCGTCATCGGATGCAATACGCACAACCTGTACAATGTCGAAGTAAATATCGGACTTGAACTCCTGGCCCCATATCGATGATCTCGTCATTCGGTATTCGGCAAAATTCTCGGACAGCTCCCATCCACCCAACAGCCACGTAACGAACTCGACATAGACGCATCCCAGAGTCCAAATGTCCCAGGATCGTGAGATCATAGCACCCTCAATATCGCATTCCGGGGGCCGGTAAGTAGGCGTTCGCCCTATGCCAGAGTTGTTGGGAATATTAGATCGACTTCTCTTGCTGTTAAAAACGCCCAATCCAAAGTCCGATATCACGAGCCTTCCCGGATCACCCATAGAACTTCGAAACCAGAGAATATTATCTGGCTTTATATCTCCATGGCGACCGTACTTCACGGCATTCTCAGTGTTGCCATCGACCTTTCCTGGGTACTCATGGATCCTGGCAAGGCCGGCAGCCATGCCAGCAGTCTGCCTCGCAACCCAACGGACGAGGTCTTCGCCCACGTCTGGTTCGCTATGAATTTCCCAGTACTTGACCAAATCACACTCGGCCCAGGGAAAAAGAAAGTAAAAGAAACCTTTCTGACTCCAGGTTGTGAGCAGTGAAATCAAGTGTTCATGGGCGTTTTCGCTTTCAAATTTCCGCAACATCTGAAGTTCTCGCTGGAAGGCCGCCGTATCTGTGGATCGAAGTCTCTTCAGAGCAAAAAAGCACTGCCAGCTTGGTGTTAGCCTTTGATCAGCAAACCTGGCATGATTCCACCTCTAGTTCCCGACTCTGCTCTTAAAGTAACTTGACTATTATCATAAAAATATGAGTACTTACATCTGCCCCGTTTTGATTGAAGTCGTGATGGCGGGGATGCAACTTGACCTTGAATACTTCACTGAATCCACCACTTGCTCCATCGTCGTTGGGGTCAGATTGGTATGTCAAGGGGAGTATGACTCGATCATCAAACTTTCGATATTGGGCCTCGCTTCCTTGGATACCCTTGAGAAATGGAACCCTTAGCGTCCATTGCCAGTCATCAAAAGACCTCAGTGAATTATGTTTCCAACCTTGGAAACATCCCAAGGGTTTGTCGAGATCTTTTCTTTTTCGCAAGTCAACCTTGTTTCTTTGGCCTAAATCGACTTTTTGAAGAGGCAGATCTGAATCACAAACTCCGGTTACAGGGTCTAGAAACTCCCCGATAGAGCTCACCCTCTCAATCAGGCAAAGAATCGCAAAGATCTGTCGATAACACCTACTCCCTGGAGAGCTCTCGCATACCCTTTGAGCAATGCGGTTTATATCGGAGTCATCGTCCAAAGCCTCTGCAAGTTCTTGTTTCACTGCTTCAGGACCAACCAGTTCCTCCAAAAGGCCAGTCGGGAGGTATCCTTCCGTTACTTCAGGGTGAGGATGGGGCTGGTAATGGCTCCGAAGAAGCTCATCTAGTGGTACTCCAGTGTAAGGGCTGGGGGGACTTTGGGCCTGGTCTGTCGAGCGGATTGGTGGGTTTCGGTTCCCGACACTGGTCTGTTCGCTAGGTGCTGCTGGGCGTTCTTTTGGCACGTTATCGAGTCCCTGGTTCCCATGAATAGCGTCAAGCGCAGGGTTGTGCTCATCGCCCTGTAATTCGTGTTAGGACATCGTGCAGCTTAAATGGCAGAAGAGGGCCCAATTTGCAACTGACAACGACAACTTTCGGAATGTTGCCACCTAGATGGAGGTAAGCCAGGTCTTCGCTCAATGTGCGAGGGTGGCGATTGGGGCTGGGGCCGCTGGGTATGTTCGGATGGTATTCCGGAGGCATTGCGGAGTGGTACGCTTCATTAGTAGCACCAAAGATGAATTGTGCAAGTATCAAGCTAGGAAGCCTCGAGCAGCAAGATCGTGTGGTCAAACTGGAAACGATGCCTCATCCTAGTGGAAGAGAAGGGAGTTTTAATGGGCGAGTCTGGCATCTACGCTGCACAGCCAGCCTCACGAAGTAATGCCCCAGAGAGGAATGGTCGATTATCAACTTTATGGCCTCCAAGTGGTGTAAGCAGCGATTACGATGCAGAATGGACGGGCTCTGACCAGGGCAGCGGCAGGCTGTGGACTGGCGGGGTTTACATGCAGGCTGTAAGTCTGTGCCTACAAAGAGAAAGCCGGTGTTAGAGGGGCCTGGAGATTCGGGGGAAAAGAAGGCTGCGCATGTGCGCAGACGCGCGTGTACTGTACCCATAACCCGGAACTCATGACATACCAATTGGGCAAGAGAAGAAGCCGTGGAAAGGAGCAAGGGAACGATTTTTGGTGCACCCTTGGAAGTCACGATGTGTTAAGAACCGCTTCTTCAGAACGAAGCAGAGCTATGTTGACGTGGAAGTGGATTCACCCATCGCTGCAGTGGATGGGTGCGCGAAGGCATCTCCAAAGGCCGAAGTGGATGCGACGACGAGGAACCCTAAGCCTACAGCTGACACCTGGTCTAGCTTGCTGGGCGGGAATTCCACTTCATGTTGATGGTGTGAGCAGAAAGTGGTCAACGAATTCATTCGACAGAAGCGTTCTGGAATGCAGCTTAACATGCAACCACACGAAGGGACCAGGTGATTGGCTCTGATCAGGCAACCGCACCAAAAACCTGCAGATATTGATGCAGTCTTGCAGCATGTTATGAGTGATCAGCTTGAGTCAACCAATCATACCCTGGTAGGAGTAAAACGCTGCAAGCCCTCCTCGGCCCTTAAGTGTAGGCGCATTCCACCGAGAATCAAACCCGTCCATCTTCCTCTTTGGCTCTCACCATCCGTTAGCTGACATTGGAAAAAAAATAAAATAAAAAAAAGACATAAAAGAAAACAACAGCAGCACACAATGGATAGCAGCTTCAATGTACGTCGGAATAAGCAGCAAGGATGCCAGAGGATATCTGGATCTTCCATCGCCCCGGAGAGACTCTCCCGTTATCTTAAAGAAGAATTCAATTCCCACCAATTCGAGTTCGAGTCAAGAAAAAACTCCTACGTGATCCGGGCTCCGCGTGATCTCTCGCCAGTACGTGCGCCCTGAGATTAAGGAAGTTGGAAGATCGCTGATGCAAAAACAGGATGAGATTCAAAGACTCCGGACAAGTCGCATGTAGGAATAGTAGAATAAGCGATGGAGCGAAAAAGGAACTATTTGCTGCTCGAGCTTTTCGGGCGAAACACGACGGCGTTGGAAATTCACAGCATAGCCACGGGGTTCGGGAAGGATTTCATTCGTTTGGCACATCAATGCTTTGGAGATATCACATCATGAGGATTTGGAAAATCTTGGGACTTCAATTCTTGTATTGTGATTTACTAGACTCAATTAGAACACACTCGTTCACTGTCACCTCTCGGCGTTCCCATGCCAGGATCACCTATCAGCAGGTGCTCTACAAAGGGCGTCCAAGCTGTCAGAAGCCTAGGAAGCCCCAACTTTACCGACCTGCGATCGCCGTGCATTGACTCGGACCTGGAAGTTTACAGGCTTGACGAACCAACAGTTCCTAGTAACCCAGGGAGCGTCCCTACAAATTTCAAAATCAAACTCATGCAGTAGTCTGGGCATCAATTTCGAAATTTCCAAGATGGAAATGTGTCTTCCGATGCAGGTTCGTGATCCCAGGCCGAACTATCAGCTTGTCAGTGACAGCACTGGAACATGCAGTCTCTAGTTCTTCTACAGGTGGCTTACCGGCATCCAGTGTCTGTTCATCGCTGACAAACGATCGGTATCTGTAGTCAACCATCGATCCGGTCTGAAAGAGGCTGCATCTTCGCCAAAGATGGATGGGTGGTGGTGCTCAACCCAAGTGTTGATGCCCACGATGGTCTAACAATGATTAGTGAATGTCAAACAGTGTATAATGCTATCATGTTTTTAGCATACCCCGGCTGGGAAGAATTTCCCGGCAATAGTGGCCCCTCCTTCGGGAACAAATCTCTCGAGGGGAAGCCCAGTCGCGGGATGCAATCTCAATGCCTCCTTGATGACTGCCTGGAGGTATGGCAGCTTCAGACTCTCTTGGAAGTTTATTCGCCGAGGATCGCCAGTTCTCTGGGAGTAGAACTCGTCAATCTCCTTTTGCAGCTTGCTCAACTCTTTAGGATTCCGGAGAAGCTGATATAAAATGGCGCTAAGGCTGATGGCGGTCGTGTCTGAGCCTGCAACCATGTTTGATACGCAACCCGCCAGAACATGGTACTGAGAGAACGTTGATGAGTCCTCGGAATGCTTCCCGAGAAATTTGGAGAGAAAGTCCATGGTGCCAGACTGTTCAGAGAGATGCGAAGTATCCTCAGCATCGACTGCTTTGGGCTTTGCCTGATGGTCTGCCAAGCAACCCTTGGTGAACTCGACGATGAATTGCCTGCCAGTACCCCGTTTACCTAGCCGACTCCTGATGGGTGCTAAGTAGGAGTGGAGGTACGAGTATACTCCTACCATAGTCGCGTAGTAGAGGTGATTTTCGAGATTCTTGATCACCGCTCCGACATCAAGACCTCGGTCCAGGAATCCAAGTCTCTTGGAGTAGGTGATCATACCAACCACGTCGAACGCGTAACACTGGAACCAATGACCCATGTCAACAGGCTCTACCGTCTTTCCTCTGCCACTCATCTCTGAGAGCCTTTCGGAGAACAAGTCCGCGCACTCGTCGACGTAACTCTCATAGTGCACCAAGGAGGACATGCTATACATGCTCTGGTAGAGACGTCGATTCTCACTGTGGCGCTTCTCGTCTCGGTCCGAGAACAAAGACCATTGATGCGGATTTGGATCACCCCACGTGTCATACCACGTAGACTTTGAAAATGCGTGGCCATGACCGTAAATCACCTTCGCTGCGTGTGGGTCATTGATACTGAATCTATTTGGACCATATCGAACAATTGGACCTTGGAGGAGTTAGCTCATATAGACTAGAACTCTTTCAAATCGACTCAGTCTTGGAGACAAGGCTGCACTTGTCTCTGATAGAAGGTCTTGAACAAGACGACTTGCCATATTTTCGGTGCAGCTCAATGTTATCAAGCTCGAAGCGGCCCTGATGAATTCTCCATGCGTACCATAGGTCCGTGAAACGCGCAAAGCACGGGCCGGGAACGGATGCGAGTGGGGCCGCGAAGCCGCGATAGATCTTTGCCAGGAGCTGCACTCCCACAAAGAGTGTGACTATCACCAAAAAAACGTATGCCTGCATTCTATCGATTGATACGGCTGTTGCAGAGTCCTCTGTGGATGCTTGGAAATGTGTGTAATCAGATAATCCATCAGTTGTCGCAGTTGCGCACGGGAGATAGCGAGCTCGAGATTGGCAACTACGCGCTCCGCAGCTCCCGAGGCTAAGAACGCTAGCCAAGGCATCTCGAAGGCGGGGTCAACCTTTGCGAGTTTCCACTATCATGGAAGTCGAGGCTCTGAATGACGTACGGCGTCCGCGGACAACCTCATGGCGACCCCGCATGTCTGTTTGCTTGCGGTCCCGGCTGCTTCGGCCGGCAGTCCGAACGCAGGATGGTATTCACTACTAGTCTGTCTAAGCCATCCCACATCCGATGAACACCAATCACATCTTGCATAACTGTTGCTTACTTCTTTCAATGGGTATCAGCGGGGCATCGGCCGAACATCGCTAAAATTAGAAGTTCAAGAACACTGGGCTTTGGACGATGGAGTTGCGATGGGCCTCTCGGCCCCCGAGATGTTGATCATGGAGGTGCTTTGTCTGATGGAGTCCAGCTTAATTACGAGCAAAGTTCTGCCTCACACCAAATACTTGTTGAAGAAGCAGTTTCTAGCCATTGACAAGAGCAACAAAGAAGTTCAACATGCAGAGCACCCTTCCAGCATCGTGGTATCGTGAGCCAGGCTTCTATCAACTGGAGAGACGCGCTATCTTCAGTAAATCATGGATTCTAGTCTCACATGTTCACCAATTCAGTGAGCCAGGCAAATACGCTCGCTATGAGATGGCCGGTTACCCCTTTTTCATTATCAAAGACCGTGCCGGGAATATCAATGCGTTCCTTAACATTTGCCGCCACAGAGCGTTTCCAATTGTTCATGAGAATGAAGGAAAGGCATTTGTGCTGTCTTGCAAATATCATGGTATGCGCTCTAATTTAGCCTCTGACTCCGAGTTACAGTACTCACGCCATGGCAGGGTGGTCTTACAGCATGAATGGCAACTTGGCCAAGGCGCCTCGATTCGACCAGGTCGAGGACTTTGACAAAAGCGAGTATGAACTCTACAAGGTGCACAGCCATATCGATAGTCTAGGGTTCTTCTGGATCAACCTAGACGCAGCCGAAAAGCCGACGCTTAGCTGGGAGGAACAATTTGGCGGTGTTGACGAACAGCCCCGGCTAAAGAACTTCGACATGAGCAACTACGAGTACGACCACACTTGGTCAATGGAAGGGAAATTCAATTGGAAAACATTGATTGAGAATTACAATGAGGTTTGTGCAATCAACTCCGACCTGTATAATTGGTGAGTCTCAGACTTTGTGACTGATTCTGTGGGGATCCTGTAGTGTTACCATTGCCCGACAGCTCACCCTGGCCTCGCACCCTTCTTCAAGGGCAATAAACAGATGAACTATGGTCTCAATAAGTACTGGGTTGAACACCTCGGTGCAAAAGGAGAGCAACGTGCCAGCTCTGTCAGTCCTACATACATGTTTCCCAACGCTTCGGTCACTCTCACGTGAGTTAAAGTCATTCCCATGTGTGCTTAAGCAGGCTGAGCTAATTTGGTCTCTAGGCCTGTATTCTTCTACATGATGTCAATCGTACCCACATCTGCCACAACGAGCTTGATGCGGTACGAAGTCTATCGGTCGAAAACGGCGACTCCAGAAGAGTTGAAAGAAAAGCTGGACTTCTTCAGCCAAGTTGAGTCAGAGGACAAATGGCTAGCCAACGGATCGCAGTCCAATCTCAATAGTGATACCTACACAACTGGGCCATTTCACCCTGATGTGGAGGAAGCGGTTGTTTATGTCATTGGAAAGGTCAAGGGGCTTCTGCATGACCATGTAGCCGAGGAGAGAAAGCGTGGGTCGGAATGGTGGCCGGCTCGCAGAGGCCCTGTTCAAGCGACGAGATCATCCGCCGAAGAGGATGAGGCGTTCTGTCGGGGTGTGTGTTCGAGCTCTAGCATGAACGACAAAGCTGTACCCGAGGGCTTAGCGTGGTAGTTTGTCTTCAATAGTTCAGTTTGATTCTTAGGACCTCAAAGATCTGAATGAGCGATCAATTGAGACGCTCAAAACACTGTATATTTCACATGAGCTGATCACCTGGGCCGCGATGAAAGCTAGATATCCTGACAGTTATTAGTTATTGAGCTAACAGGCAGATACCACCATACCGTTGTAATCATCATGAAAGTTATTTGGTGGGGGCCTACGCTCGCGCAGATGCAGGAGAATAGTTGGTAACAGTAATTTGACGTTCGGCATATAACGGAGGCCGATGTTAATTGCATTAGTAATGTGGTGGGCGCGTTCGCGTCCAGGGCAATTTAGTGCAGCTCACCAGACCCTATCGCGTCCTACGGCTCGGTGGTTGACTAGCTCCGTACTATTGGAAAGTACTGGAATTCCAGTCTAATCCCAAAGGCACTCTAGTTCAATACTTGGCAATTGGAAAAAGACGAGTCAGTGGTGATAAATAGGGCAAATGACGCATCATACTTTAAGACGATGGCCTGTCGACGATATAATCAACATTGAAACATATCAGTAACTCCTGCTAACTCAATTACCATTCATTCCACGTTCAACTGGGCCTCAACTATCATCATGGCCGGCTTCACTTCCACACTCCCCCGCACACTTCTATCTCCATCTCTATACTCACATGTACACAATGTTTGGTTTCAAGGCGTAGCACCTCATGCCAAGGTTGCCTCACGAGAAGCAATGACGCGCTGGTTCGGCCAGGGGTCGCCGGAAGACCGTCGAGCCTTTGACGACACCTGCACGAAAGAGTTCGCGGCCGCTCTAGAGTCTATCGGTCCCGAGAAGTTCCCTCTTCCGCCTTCGAACAACTTTTCAGAGGAGTCTGCCGCAGCCGAAAACATTGCAGGTCCATTGATGCAAAGCATCAACACCTCGGACGGAGAAACCAAAAGCATGCAGACACTTGCACTCGTTCTCCTGCTCGATCAAATGCCCCGAAACATATTCAGGACACGCCAGGCCGTCATCTACACGCATTACGATCGGCTTGCACGGGCAGTCCTCCGCAGCCTCATGAGTGCTGAATCGCGCCCTGACATGCACCCCTCGCTCCGGTTGGCGCCGGCGCGGCGAATGTGGTTTTATATGCCGCTAATGCACTCCGAACATGTTGAAGACCACGAGACATATATCAAAGTTGTCAGCGAGATGCAAGAGGAGTTTCGACAGCAGGGGGACAAACAGAGCGAGGACTATATCGGAGACAGCCTGGAGTTCGAGAAGAAGCATAAGCATCTGATCGAGCGGTTTGGGAGGTATCCGCACCGTAATGCGCAGCTGGGCAGATCGATGACGAAAGAAGAGGAGGAATATCTTCGAAGCGGAGGAGAGCACTTCGGAACCGCAGCGTAATAAGACGGGAGAGTTGGCCGAATGTGTGTTTGTAGCTGTATATAGGTAGATAAGGCATGCATGTAAGAATATCTCAATCCTTATACATCTGCTATGACCCCATCTCATCCGAGAAGAACCTGCTTAACAATCCTCACCTCCTCCGTCGTGCCGCAGATGAGACCTGCCCTACCATCGCAATCCTTTTGAATCTTTTCAAGCAGTGGCCTGCCATTCGTGGGGTCAATGGCTTGGCCACCCGCGCACTCCATGATCAGAGCGATAGGGTAAAGCTCGTAGAGGAATCTGAGCTTGGGAAGAACACCGGGCGTAACAGGCATTACATAGACGCCATGACCCTTGACAAGCGCATGCACAATGTCGGGTACGAGACCACCGCAGTACCGCAGCGTGTACTTCTCCTTGATGAACCGCGTAATGAGAGCGCTGTACCTCTCATCATCCGCCGCGTGCCGGAGGTTCGCGGGCGCAAAGTACCGCGTCTTAAAGGGTGCGTCGGCCAACTTGACGACCGACCGAATGACCTCGCAGTCTGTCACACCGTTCGGGCCGTACCCGATCTCAAAGCAAGCGGAGTCGGCGCCGGGGATCCGCACGGCGACAATGGCGGTAGTCCGGGGTCCGATGACACCAATAATGGCCGCAATCTGCTTCTCAACTGGTGACTGGCCCACCGCGGTCCGCCCATCCCAGATGCCGACGATTGTTCCGACCGTCCAGTTTGGCGCGATGATGGAGCTGCCGTCGAGGGGATCGAAAGCGACGGTGTACTCTTCTGAGGTTGCAGGGATCTCGTTTGCACCAGCGCTCGCTTGTGGCCTCGCAGGCTTCTCGACCGGGTCCTCCTCACTGCTTGCGGTCTGGATCGAGGGGCATTTCGCAATAGCTTCGCGCATTACGTTCTCGGAGAGCACGTCGACGTTGAGCTGGTCGTCACCAAAGGCGTTTGCTGTCCCAGCAAGTGAGACGTGCTGGGATGCCTGCAGCGTCTTCGCGATGCCGGAAATGGCGTCGAGGATTGCCGGGATTACATCGCTGCGAAGAGACGAGCGGTCCCCTTGCGGAATCACCTTCTCCAAGAGCTGCGCAAGAGCTGGCGATGCCGACATGACTGGTTGTGAACTTGGTATGTGAGGCCCCTCAGAAAGTGTTGAGTCAGGACCGAAGTGAGTTATTTTAGGATCAGTGAAGTTGCGAGAATTTACGTTACGGCGTGGCCCCCCCCACACATTCTCGACGGGTTCTCCCTTGATCCACCAATCTCACACTTTTGGCATCAAACTCAAACTCACAACTACTTGACGCAACGTACTTGCGCATTAATCGAGACGTCATGAGCTCTAGAATCCTGAAAAGCTTTGTCTGCTGATTATATTTGCACCGAGCTACAGGTCCGCTCGTCTTGAGATGCTGCAGTGTCTTCAGTAAGATGCTTTGTTGAGATATTGAATCGATCTGTCAGCAAAAGATAGAGCTCATCTCTTATCGCGCACTTTGTCACTCCGCGGCTGTGATTCGCTAATGATTCTCTACGAGAAGAGCAAATCACTAAGCTTGCGAGCTTTCCTCACCATAGTCTCCCCCCTGCCGTTTGAATCCATCGTAAAACCGCCTTTCCTCAAATACCCGTATATCATCATCGAAGTTAACTTTGCCAAGTTTTCGCGCCTTCAATATCTTCCTTCTCACCCTCATCACATCATACTCCGTGTTCCGGGTCAACCACCAAGTCCATAGGTTGGCGACAAAAGAGGCGATAGTTGTCGCCGCTGCTATCGCGAAGCTTGTTTTGTAACCATTGTATGCGAACTTTGACTGGAACAGCTGCGGCCCAATGACGCCGCCTAGCTGGGCTATACCCGATTGAAGACCAAGCGTGAAGGCTGTCCCCGTAGAACCAGAGAGTGTGGCAGATCTCCAGGCCCAGAAGGGAATGAAGTATGACTGGTAGAACAAAGTTCCCAAGATGCAAGAGATGTAGATACCATACCGATTGGTGATCGTAAAGAAGAGAACGAAGCATACAACCATGCCGGACATAAGAATCCTGAATTTCTTGTCAGTGACCAACACCCCATGCGCTCACTTTGAGTCTCGAGGGGAACTCACATGATGTAGGCTGGCCGGACGATGCACGCTCTCGACATGAACCACGCAGAAAATATTAAGCCCACGATGGCAGCAAAGGCAGGAGGCATATTCAACAGTTGATTCCTCGGCAACCCCACAAAGCCAAGATTGGTAACAATTGTGGGCAAGTACCACGTCAACGCGTATCCTCCAATGTTGATGAGCGTCTGCGACAGCATGAACGACCAAATCAATGGTGTTCGCAAGACTGCCCAAATCTCTTTGCCGGCAAAATCGGGGTCGTTCGTCAGCGGCGCATTCTCCGGCAACCTGGCTTCTACAAACTCTTGTTCCCTCTCTGTCAGGAAGCGGCTGCTGCGCGGTGACTTGGGGTAATCTGGCAACAGCCGAAACACCACACCAGAGAAGACGATGGTAGCCAGTCCTTCAAGAAGGTATACCCATCTCCAAGCACTGATACCACGAATCCCGTTCATGTAGCTGATACCATAGCATAGAAGCGATCCGATGATGCCTGCCAGGTTGGACATGGCAAAGAACCAGGTCACTGGTTTGCCTATCTCATCTGTGCGGTACCAGCTAGACAGCTGGGCCATGATACCCGGAAACATTCCAGCTTCGAACATCCTGGGATGTAGTCAGCACGCTTTTGGTCTAAACATCATACAGGCACTCGAGACTCACCCAAGCAGGAATCGCATAGCATAAAGCTGATGCCGATTCTGAGCTGCAGCTTGGCATGCCGTGATGATTCCCCAGGTGAGGAAAATACGGGACTGCCAAAGATGCGGACTCATGCGCTTCAGTAGAAGATTGCTGGGCGCTTCGAAGATGATGTAGGCAATCTAGCCTTGTTAGCGTTTCATGACGATTATTCAAGTTGCTTCTTAAGACTGGGCAGTGCAGTTACTTACACCGTAGATGGATCCAACCCAATTGTATTGATCAGACGTCATGTCGAGCTCTTTCATGATGTTCCGGGACTCTCCTGCCTGCAATACCCGGACATTTGCAGCATTGGTTTGGTCAATCTGGAAATTCGTTAGTACGATGAGTCGAACGGCTTCAGCCAATCTCCAGGATTGCTTTACCTGCTTGATCATGAACATCACGCCGATGAGAAGCAGGAAGGCCTTGTCAACTTTGTTGATGACAGACCTTTCCTCTTTCGCAGAAAACGTCGAAAGAAACGCCGCTCGAGCCTCTGGGTCATCTCGCAAGTTATCAACATTGGCTCGAGCCACAGCTGCGTTGGCTTGCTGCTTCCGGCTCGCGGCCGTTGCATCGTGGTCAATCCGGACTTCTTCGGGCTGTATCGGCGCGCTCATCATGAAACCGGCGATCACTGTTACAAACCATCATAGTACTTGGGGGCCAGCTTCAAATGGAAGTGGTCTTTTAAATCAAGTAACTGATTGGTGCCGACATCCAATACCCGATGCCGGCAATTCTCACCATCTGCATCTCTGTATCGAGTTCCTTATCAGTGGGGATCTAGGGGAATATGTATGATGTGCTCGAAGGTGATATGGCGATATAATGCTTGGGTTGTGATGAGCTTGTACAAAATGCTTCTGGCTTGTCGCTGCATCTGCACATTATTCGCTGAAGCGCGCCGAGAACTGATGGCGGAATCATGGCCCACCCTTCCATCATCTGCAGGATTCTTGTGTACCAACCCAACGACGTTGTGTTCGCGGGGCTAGTCCGGCTAATATCCGAGTCTTTCTAACACATCTTCAGCATTTCTCGCTGGTCGGGAACATACACAAACCGGCGAGGAAATGTTTCCCCAAGTCCGATAAAGGAGTCCGACAACCTCATAGAGGGGGATTAAGGTAGCATCTCTCGGAAAATATCCGTAGGATTTCCGCACGCAACATGCAGATAAGATGACGCCACAGGGGCATGGATGTTATAAACTACAGGCACTTGCTTGGGACCGACTTTATTGTGACAGCAAGGGTCAAGCAAGTCTTAACTAAAGCTAGGCCGAAATCAAGCATACGTACAGCGACCTTCCTTCGGCCCTGACAATTGGTTGTACAACATCGAACTTTACTTTTGTTGACAGTTTTGAACAGCCGCAGTAGCTATGGCTTCTTCAAAGAGTCCAGACGGCGTTACAAGTGCCAAGCCTCAAAAGCAAATTCTTCTGAATGCCTTCGACATGTTCACTGTAGGACACTTGTCCTTTGGCCAATGGCGTAACCCCAAAGACAGAGCCAAAGACAAACGCCGCGATCTCACTTATTGGACAGACCTTGCAAAGCTCCTCGACAAGGGGGGATTTGTGGGCTTGTTTTTGGCCGATACTTTTGGACCATACGACACGTAAGCGTCATCTCATCCTCTGCATCGGCGAACATCATCGTTGCTAACATGGCTTGCAGGTACAAGGGGAGCGCAGAACCGTCGGTTCGAACGGGCGCTCAATGGCCCATGGCCGACCCTGTCATCGTGGGTATAACCTCGGCAGCGATGTCTTCATCGCGTGCCCTGCAATATGCACCGCATATAACTAACATCAAATCAGCCTGTTTCCGCAATGGCTGCTGTCACCAAAAATCTTGGTTTTGCCATCACGACGTCAACTTCATACGAGCAGGCATACGTGGTTGCAAAACGCTTTAGCACCCTTGACCACCTAACAAAGGGACGGTTTGGATGGAACATAGTCACGAGCTGGAAAGAATCAGCTTCCAAGGCTGTAAGCTTCTCATTTAGGTGCTCTCATGGTATGTATCTAACGCGAGACATCAGGTTGGCCTCCCGTTGGTCGAACACGACACCCGTTATTCAAATGCCGACGAATACTTGAGAGTTCTTTACAAGTAAGATTGAACTCGCTGGGAATATTGACTCAACATGTTGACGAGATCCTTGCAGATTATGGGAGGGGTCTTGGT